CACACACACACACACACACACACACACACACACACACACACACACACGCACACTCACACTTACACCGCCCCCCTGACCTTGTGGCAATGCCGGGAGAGTTTAGTACGGTATGCCTACTATGGGGGGAGGGTCCCACATAATTTCCGAGCCTCAGTCGTATGCATAAAGTATTTCTCCATAGTAAAAAAAGGTACTTTGTGTTTGGGTTCATATGATTCGTTTTGACGAGGACTTGAAATATGCGCTCAGTTAGAGACCCCCCCACACAAGCGTCTTTCGAGGGTGAGCGTCTTGCCAACGTACGCACAGCGTCGACACGACGACCGCGTGGCGGCGCAACGCCTCGCGTCAGTATGCGACTGTTAGGAGCCTCCTCCCGTTCTTTTGATTTAGTCGAGTATTACTTATTAGACCCTCTAAATAGTACCGAACGCTGTACGTGTTTTGGCAATTCGCTAACTCTTGAAAGACGCTAGGGTGGGGGATCTCTTATCGTTGAAGAGATCGCGGTAGCGAACACAAAAAGCGGACAAGCAAACTTTTGAGGTAATTTTTTATAAAAAAACATTTACAACTCCCAGAATCCACAGGTTTCTCAGCTATGACGATATCAATCAGGAAGTGATTGTTGGAATACATTTGTTGCACTGATGTTTATACTCAATTAGTTAATAAAAGAATTAAAAGAAATAATTACCATCCATCAATGATATAACAATGGTTGCTGTAGCACGTGTGCTGTCAGGTTTGTCGGCACGTATTACGAATATTAATTTTCGATTGCTTGCCACTATTGCTGGCGGAACAGGTGTTTTCAATATGAGTGACACCGAATTGCCATCTCTTATAAAATCAAACCATTGCGAGTGGTCTGAAACAGATGCAATTATCATTATCGTATCATATATCATGTATTAAAAGTAGAGTTCCTTGTGTAGCTTGTAGTGTGTAGAGTTCGTCCAGGAAAGTATTGCCATCTTTCGTATTTCTTTTTTTTTATAATATCAAGCGACGGCACGAACAAGTCATGGGCCTGGTGGTAAGCGACACGCTTGTACATAACAATTGCAGTGCCACTCAAAGCTTGAAATCGCAAAGTTATGAGGGGCACTGACACTGCGCTCGTCTCACTGAGATATGTTAAGTTGACAAGTCATGTGTACCTGCAATTAGCATCCTTACCCTTCAAAACCGGAACGCAATAATGCTCACATTACGGCTTGGCGGCAGAAATAGGTAAGGTTGAAGTAATTCCCAGGACGAACTCTTTCACAATTTCTGCCGCCAAGCTAACATTATTAAGCATAGTTTGCTGGTAGGTTAAAGTACTACATAACAAATGTATTATATACATTAGTGTACAAAGGCGAGCCTATCCCATGAAGGGCTTTCTTTCAAGCAACTTTTTCATTATAATAAGATTTTATGGGGACTTGAACTTTGTTCGTAGTGTTAACATAAGTAGGTATGTACCACTAATGTTATTTATGGTAGACATGGTGCTGCAAACTAACAGAGTTCGACGACACTGTTTTATTGACTCACCTCCGTCTAAAAAGAATAATACAGTCTCATCATAGCCAGTAGCCAGAGTTATTTGTGGCTCAAATATAAAGTCCGTTTCTGTATAAGAGCCCACATAAAAGTCTTCATCAAAAGCTATTGGAATTATATCAGGTTTTATAACTTCTAAAATAACAATCGCGCGTGCTCTTTCTCTTTCTGTTTCAACTTCTAAATTGAAGACTAATAAATTATTAAAATCTATGACATCAGGCGGCAAATCTGATATCAGATGTAAAGTAATTATTTCATTTTCGTGCGTTACTTGAAAATATTCCGCGTGATCTAAAAGAAACATAAAAATGTTGATTACAGGCATTTCATTACATATTTATATTACAGCTCTAATTATACGAATTGTACCTCCCAAAAGCGTCGCCTGTATATCCGAAGTATAACCCTCCATAAGTATAATTTGGTCTGTATTTAGGATTCCATTCTCAACAGACCCCATATAGTAATTTTGTGAGAAAACCAGAGTACTTGTTGTATAAAAGTCTGAAAACGAATTAATCAAAAGTAGAAATAATCGTAAAAAATGGAAAAAGTATTTAGGAAATGAAACTTTTTTCCGGATTTGTTTTTTCAAATAAACCACCGAAACTTTGGTTTGTTTGAAGAAACAAATATACGCGATTTAAATCGGGAAGAATGCTTTCATTTCTTAAGTGCAACAATCGCAAAACAATTGAAACTTTCACACATTATTTGATTACGCACGTTGTAACTCGTCCGAAATGTTCCGATTTTTTATTTTAAAATCAAATATTTTTTATGTTTCCAGTCTTTAACAATGGCTTACAATAACTTAAACCAGTGTGCTGTAAATTATTTTGACATCATTTTTAGACATATTACCCAACATTATTAAGACCACTGAAACTAGAGGTCGACACCGAGGCCGACGGATTATTTTCTACTAAATTGGCATCGCATGCCTGTTCAATGAAGTTAATACTTACCGGTTAGACTAATGATGATTGCCGCTTCTCCCGGTACGCTATTAGTTTTAGTAGCTACCACCCTGAAAATAACGTGGCTTCTATCTTTAACATCCTTTATTGTATCATCGGATAGTCTGAGCGTTACGGTATTTCCATTGTCAACTAGTTCAAACCACTGAGCATCATCTGAAATAGTATATCTGGTCGTTAATGATGTTTTTAAGCACAATTTCGTCAAAGAATCTACATTGGCCTACATACCGCCCGCAAGAGTGAAATTAACCGACTCGTCGAAGCCCTGAATCAAACGTATCGTATGTTCAAACGATAATCCGTCTTGTACTGAGTATTCTCCAATGTAGTAAGCGTGTTCAAATATTGGTTGTACTATTTGTGTTTTCACTATTTCGATAACGAGTGTCGTATAGCCTGGTATAGCTCCTGCATATGATGCAGTTACGTCGAGAACAATGAATGAGTTTTCCTCAATTACATTAGGTGGTAATTCTTCAATTAGCTGGACAACAAAATTTGAATTATTTCGCAACAATTCAAAGTAGGACGCATACTCTGGAAAAAGATAATAATAAATAAATATATGGGTTAATTCTAGTCATCCTCGCTAACCACTTGAAGCAGTTGGATTACTGTGGCCTGTTCAGCTCAAATGCAGAAAGTGGCACAAATGCAAAAAGCAAGAGCTTGATACGGCACGTATTGTTCGCCGGTTCTTGAACTAAGTTCCTGGCTCCGACCGACTGTGTCATTGCCGGAGAATACCGCCTCTCCCATTAAAAAATTCTTTAAAATTTAAAATTAATAATAATAATTTAAAATTATTTAAAAATTAATCTTATAGGCCATGGGAGAGGAGAGTTTAAAATATATATCCAAAATAAATAATGAGCCAAATAACCATACCAAATTATGGTCTGGTCCGTAACTAGGGCATTTCCTCTACTATGAGAACTAGAGCAACGGAACGAATAAACACAAGAGAATGGAAAACTCTGTCAATGACAAGGACAATTACACCATTTTTTACTACAACGATGTCGAAATGAGTAATCGAAATGAGAACATCAAATTATTCAAGTATGTCTCGTAAATAAATTGTCGCTTACCCCCAGTAATATTAAGAGAGGCATTTATTTTGTCAGGATTCAGTACAATTGTCGAAATATCTAATTCACCGTTTTCTATGCGGCCCACATAGCTTTTATGCGCAAAACTCAGGATTATCGGGTCAAGCGTATCTGAAAATAAATTTAATACAGTGTCGTGACGTTGTCTTAAACCAATATACGAAGAACTTCAGCCACGGTATGGCAAGGTCGCAGGTTCGAGTCCAGCTGGATCGGAAGAATTTTTCTTTGTGTTCGATCCTTGTATTAGTAAATAATAATAATAATAACGCACACACTCATAGCCCCGTACTAGGAAAACCTGTGTGGCGGGTGTCCTTGACACATACATAGACAACCACAAATTACATCTAAACTCATGACAGAAATAAATGTAGGCAATACAAATACTTCTCCCGGCCCGGGAATCGAACCCGGGACGTCTGCGTGGCAGACCAGCATGGTAACCGTACGGGTAAGCTTTTATTATAACAAATTAGTGATGTAAATTCACAAAAGTGTTTTAATATCATGGTAGGAAAACATTGTCGACGTATTTACTAACATGATAAACATTACAATATACGAAAGTAAAAGAACAACAAACAAGAAAACATTTTACGCATGCTAGATACACCCCAGTTTCTTGTAAAAAAATATAGTTTAAACAACATCATCGAATTGTTATGAATTATGAAAATAAACACATTTTCAATTCATACCTTTAGGAAGATCAATGGAAATCGCTGCTCTTCCGTCAATTGTACCTGGCTTAATAGCTACAACCGTAAAGAGAAGCTGACTGTTTTGTTCTAATACATTGGCAGGTATAGGAGAGGTGAGTATTAGGTTAACTGAATCCAATTGCGGAACTACATCGAACCATTCTGAACTATCTGAAATACGAACAAGTTTCTTATAATTACAATAGATATTCTAGGTATCATATAGGTTGCATAAGATTTTTTTTATGATATCAAGTGTGGGACGAACAAGTTGTGCGCCTGATGGTAAGCGACTCGCCTGCTCATAACAGTTGAAGTGCTGTTCATACTTTAAGTCACAAATATCGGAGAGATACTGCCACTGCGCCCGTCACCATGAGACATAAGTTGAAAAGTCCCATGTGTTTGTAATTGTACCAGCACCTTTACGCTTCAAAACAGAAACGTTACTACTTGGCAGCTGAAAATGGAAATACTTCACTGGCTCTTTCACGCAGGAGCTCTACTGCTACTATATTGTATATGTGGAAATTTTTCGCGAGGAAGAATTGTTTTTTCTCGGCTATTATGTCAAATTACAATATTTATGTTATTCAATAATAAGGTGTGTTTCATATTATAGCCATGGTGAAATAACAGACGTTGTTTAGAGTCCGGTCATATCGAAGGAATTTTGTGATTGTTCGATTTTGCAACAACATATCAAATTATTTATAACTATTTTGTCACTACTAATTTCATTGGAAACATTATACAATTTTAGAAGAATGTTGTAAAAATATCGATTTTTATTCGCAAGGGGACTTGTCAACTTATGCCTCAGGGTGACGGGCAAATTGGCGGTGCTCCTCAGATCTTTGCGATATAAAGCTCTGAATGGCACTGCAACTGCTATGGACAGGCATATAGCTTACCATTAGGTGTTCGACTTGTTCACTCACTCGCTGACTCGGTCACTTGATATTATAGAAAAAAATAAAATAAAATGAAAGAAATTTTAAAGAAACCAAATAGAAATTAGATAAGAAGGCTTATCAATGAGCCACGTTGATATTAATATTTTTTTTATAAACTAAGATATTATTTATAAAAACGCTTACCTCCTTCGAGCTTAAAGGTGACTGTTTCATCGTGTCCTTGAGATAAAGATATAATATCTTCGAAAATTAATACTTCATTTTCAGTATATGATCCTCTGTAATACGCGTTTGTAAATTGTGGAACTATTATGTCTTCTCTTAGTATTTCAATCACTATACTAGTTACAGCAGTCACTGCTCGTTCTCTTTCTGCTTCTAATTTCAATAGTATCAAAGTATCATTTTGCAAAACTTCAGTTGGTAGTGAAGTACTAGTGTTTAGTGAAACGGTTACTTCATTATTCGTATATGTGGTCGTAAAGTACGATGATAATTCTGTAAAAAAAATATTTTTAATATTTCACGATACATGTCATTCTGTCTGAGATAGATGTACACTTAGTGCAGCATAAAAATCCCGCTATACAGTTTTGGCTGTTCTGGTTTTAGTGTAAGATTCAGATTAGAAACCTTTTTGAAATAAGATCGTGAGTTCATTTGTATTTATTTTGGTTAATTTTTCAATGGCAGATTTCAGATGGCAGTCAATTCATTAAAAAAAAATAATATTATTCATAACGTGGAAGCTTTTAATTGACATGTGATTTTTTACATGGAATTACATTTTGCAAATAGAGCTGGAAGTTTTGTAAGCAAAAAATAAATGTACATGAAGATAAGTACCCTCATGGGTATGGCAGGATCTGAGGTCGAAGAGACCTTGGCCTGTGGAGTAACATTTGTCTATTTTAATTGCCACAATCATATTACCCGGGCACGGTCATTAAGGAATTGTTATAGAAAATTAAATTAAAAAAAATAAAATTAAAAAGTTAAATAGAAAATGTTTACCGTCATGTTTCGCATTTCTTCATTACAGTTGTATGAAAACTCATTCTGTTTGTTATGCGAACTTAATATAATTTATAAGCTACACTTGTTTGAATTTTTTAATTAGGGAGTTTCCAGCTATTTTTACATAGTGTAATTCCATGTAGGAACCACCTGCCAATTTTCCATAATTACATATTTATATTATTGTAAAAATAATAATAGTTAGCCTTTATATTAGACCCGCTGGCCTGCTCTCGCAATAAGAGGGCTTGAGCTGTAGTTCTCACGCGGGCTAAATGCGGATTTGGGACTTCTCATACGATTGCTTTGTTTTGCAGATGTGCGTAGCTTCCCTTCACGTTGAATTGGATGTTTTCCTTAATTTTTATAATATTTTTTGTTATTATTAATTAAAATAAATTGTAATACTTTAACAACATTGGTAAATCATTAAACCTTCTGCGACAGTGTATTGTCCAGATCTAGAAGAATAATCTGCATTTCTGATCAAGGTAAGTTTTAGGATACGTTATAATAAAGGCTAAAATATTGAATTCTATATAGGAGAAGCAGACGAAAAAAATGCTTGCTATCCATTATCAGCACAATTTTAGGTGCCAGATACATGTAGCAAATCTTTGCTTGATTTATTTCAATGATCGGCTCGAGTGATCTGACAAAATCGAATCACAAACGCTACGAAAATTTGTTACTGTTTGATCTATTATTCTCATTGTTTGATCGATACCGACTGATCGTAACGTGGATATGAGAAAACTGTACATTTTCGTACGATTTTTTCAAACTGTGCCGTCAGACGGAATAGTTTCGAAAATTGAATAAACAACTCGGAACTGCGCAGTTTTGTGTGTCGACGACGTCAGTCTTCGTGTCGATTTTTTTAAGGTGAAAATTAAACCAACAGCCGCTAAAAAGTCGTCGGTTTTCATATTAGAACGGAACGAAGATCGTTACTACTGTACTGTGTGTTGACGTTAGTGTGCGATAAACTGTACCTATCAATCAAAATTCAGATCGCAACAATTTTTCGTAGCGTTTGTGAGCCCATGAAATAGTCTGCGATTACAACATGTTTTTGTCGATCGTCTGTTGCTGTTTGAAGAGCGGTAGGGGTCAATAAATTTGTTCGTTTTTTACCTCGATATTTTTCTTCGCCAGGTGGTAGTAACGATAAGCTCTAAGGTCCACCAGGTGAGTTGGAAGTGAAATGCGCACTTATTTTTTAATAAAAAAAAGGTTTTTCAATAAATAACTTACCTCCTAATAAAGTAAACCGGGTACCAGGAGCGATGCCTGTTTCAAGGACGATATTTTCCAGTCTTAAGGTGTCACCTTCAAATGTGCCAATATAAGTTTGTTGTGCAAATTTCATTAATGTTGCTTCTGTCAGTTCTGTGAAATGATTAAATTACAGAATGTAATCTGTAAAGGCGGTTTCCAACGGCCTGTGATATCGCGGGCCGCGCCGAGCCCAAGTGTGCGGGAGAGCTCACGCTAGAGGCCCATACAATATGAGCCTGCACCGGCAGGGGAGCAGCTCTCTTCCTACGGCTCGTTGGCGCGCACTAGAGCGGCGCGGCCTGTGAATCCACGACCCATGACAAGCCTCAGAAGAAGAAATATAATAATAAGTTCCCAAAACTTCACGAAAACTTTATGTATCTATTTATGGCTTTATAAGTAAGTTAAAATTGAAAAAAAAAAAAACTAAAACGGAGTAGCAATATGGTAATTAATAATCAAAATCATCAGTCCTATTAGATTATGTTAGTGTAAGATAAAAAAAGCCAAATTATTTTCATTCGTGTGGTCTGAAAATAAAAAAATACCTACATTTGAACAGAAAACCTAATCGACATAAGCATAGGTATTATTATTATTATTAGAGTGGCTTCACTCAGGGCCTTTGCGACCCTTCAACACTGCGACCTTTACCTGATCTATTGTGATCACCACTGAATACCGTTCGGAACCAAGGCCAACAGTATCAAAGAACTGAATGACTTCTCTGGCTCCAAAAATTTTTATTACCTGTGATTGTGGCCGATGCTTTTTAAGAATAGGTAACTGCATAACCTTTTTCCATAATATCTATATTTGTATTACCTCTACTGAATTCAATAGACACTGCAGCATTAGCACCCACTGTAAGAGCCTTTTCAGCTAATATGTTGAAGATTAAAACTTTTTCTTGGTATATTATTTCTTCAGGGATTGCAGATTTTAGATGCAATATTATATTGGTCTCATTGGAATCATTTATGTCGAAATACTCTGAGTGTTCTGAAATGATTAAAAGAATTATGTACTTCATTTATGATAGGAACAGCCCAAAGTACAAATCGTGAAACTGAACGCACTGTTGACAGTACCTACCATGTGGTCTGTGGTACCTACATACAATATATGGTATGACGAGGAAAAAAACTCTTAGAAATATACTATATTATTGATTTTTTTTGTAATATTACACGACGGGAGGAACAAGTAGTGCTTTTGGTGGCAACACGCCTACCCTAGATGAAGTTGGGTTAAAGTTGAACATTGTTATAAAAGATATGATTCAAAATTATTATGAATGGTTGATTTCCATTATTGTTGTAAATTCTCGTGTTCTTCCCCGAATTATCGTATTATTGTTTTTAGAATTCGAAAATGTCAGCATTATGATTGTGTAATGGTTTATAATATAACCATAATGTAGGTTTCATATAATTATGTATATGTATATGTATATGTGCACGTGTATGTGTATATACATTATACGTATATGTTATGTTTATATGTATATGTTATGTAGGTTTGATAAAATTATGTACTGTATCAACTTATTACACAATTGAAATAAGAGGAAATTATAAATAAATAAAAAAGTTTCTTAACCCGTTCATGGACAGTACTTAAATATTTTGTTCTGCACACAAAAATGTCACTACTTACCGCAACGCTTGTATTGATTCAATATAAAATGTTCAATATAAATCATTTAATTTTGTCAGTACGTTGTTGATACTTCTATAAGGAGAAACAGTAGGTGACAACAACACAGAAAGCATTTTAAAATCGCTCTACGAGCTAATTGGTTATAGAGATCCACATAGTGAAAAAAATCCCGTATCCCGTACTATCATTTTCTGGTAATTAAATTTTACGGTAAAATGCTGTTACTGTCCATAATCGTGTTAATTGTTAATATTTTCTACTAGTATAAGGTTCACTTAAATCTTGAACTGAAGGATAGACTGTAATTCAATTATCATGTTTCTTCTAGCTTATCTTTACTTCTAAACGTTTCTTAGTAAAGATAAGTGGATTAAAAAAAAACAGAGAAACCGAAATAATATATACATACATTACACGTTTACTGAAAGGTTTCTACTTACCTCCATCCAGTCTAAACTCAACGTCGCTGTCGTATCCTTGTATCAAAGTGATGTATGTATCTCTCATATCAATATTCGAGTCTCCCAAGTACTCTGCTCTATAAATATTTTGACTAAAGACAGGTGTTGTAATGTCTGGTTTTATTATTTCCAACACTACTGATGTTGAAGTGGTTACGGCGTGAACGCCAGAAGCCGTTAGTGTTAACATAATGATACTATTTTCATTAACAACATTGTCAGGTAGAGACGTTCGTAGAGTTATAGCTACTTCATTTTCTGTAGGCACCGCCGCGAATGAACTTGCGTATTCTAGAATTGAAATTACTTGATTTGTATTACTGTCCTCCTTATCATAACTGACATAATCGAAATTTTTAGCGAAATTGAGTTATTAGCATATCTGGAATCAGCGAATCGAGGTCTACAACACATAAGCAGTTTTTTATGTCTTATTTAGTTTCTGTTTTATTATAATTATGTATATAAAGATCGAACATTTAGAAAAAAAATCCTTCGATCCGAATACGAACCGACGTCTCCTAGCAAACCGTGGCAGACGCTATGCCAACTAAGCCACGGAACGAACCAGCGGACTTTACGAATTTTTCTATGTGCTTGTTGTTGAATCTTTGTACTTGGTTTCCAACGATTTTTTAGCCGTAGCGCCATCTGTGAGAAATCTATGAAAGTATTTCGTCACCCAGTTAGATACCTTTACAGCTACCAGCCCAGGCTAGAGATGTCGCTTAATAACAATTAACTATTGTTAATTGGTGAACAAATACTTTCATAGATTTCTGACAGATAGCGCTACGGCTAAAAAGTCGTTTTCAAAAGTAAAAGGAGATCAAGATAGGTGTCAAGTTAAACGAGTAAGATTAAGTATCACCGAATTAATATAACTGTCATATCGTCTGCTTAAAGACAAAACCACATAACTAACATGTTCCACAAAAATCTCTAAATTATGTACCTGTTGCAAGAAATCACCATCTTTCTGCAGATAAAACTCTTATTAAGTTTATAGCTTTTTTGTTAATGAGTTTCACGTGCAGAAAGATAGCGATTTTCTTACCATAGCTATATAAATTAAAGATTTTTGTTTAAAATGGCACTTACGTGATTTTACCTTTAAACAGACGATATTTTAGTTCGGTCGGTTAGCTCCAAAGCGATTTGGAGATTGTTAAATTAATAATAATAATAATAATGAGGCAGCTAGAATTAATTATTTTTGTAACTATAGTTCAGAATAGATTGGTTTAAGCTGCCGAATCTTTCTCAGGCTGCCGAGGTATTTCGGAGGTGGTCGACTCGGTAGCCCTAAGCATGTCGCAGCCTTGTTTTTATAGCTATGACTATTATCACTAGAATTACGACTATAATGCCATAACTTTAAGGAATGTTACTTATCGTCACCTAAAAATCTTTTGCCTAGCCGTTCCATCAGTGGGAGCTGGGCTTAATTTTCCTTAAGCTCTATTTGTAAGTACCATGTCTAAATTCTGCGCTATACCAACTTTCCCTGTAGTATATTTTCGTGACGATAATAATCTACTATTATGTATCGAGTTCTTAGGTTTTCGCGATTGTTACACATAGGAAATGAAACTATTTTTCCAGATTTAAATCGCGTATAATTGTTTTTTTCCAACAAACCGACCTCTCGGACCTTTTCCTATTCCTATTTCATTTCCTATGTGTGACAATCGCGAAACCTAAGAACTCGATATGTACACCAGTACGGACTGGACGTTGCAAATTGTCAACCGTGACCATGGGACCTATAAAGGGCCCAAAATGTCGGTTTGTTTGAAAAAACAAATATACGCGATTTAAATCCGGAAAAATAGTTTCATTTCCTATTATACTATTATGTAATTTAAGTAGGCATAACCAGAAACCATCTCAATGTAACTATTTCAATATAGTAAATATTATTAGTGTATGCATAACTTACCTCCAGCCAAGGCGAAGCTCACACCGTCCTCATATCCAACGCTTAAAATGATGTTTTCGAGAGTAACGACATTATCTTGGAGAGTGCCACTATAAGTGGGTGCTCCAAAGCGGAGTTCTCGTGCTGAAATCGAGGTTTATAATTATGATGAAACGTTTAGCAACACTAAAAAGAAATTGCAGAAATAATAGCGATAAAAGTAACGGGAAACCTTTGGGGATATATTACTTATCAATTATTTTTTTGTTATTTTTCTTTGATTATAAATTTTTATCTATGACCTTTCAGCTTCAGTTTCAGTGTTAATGATGTACCTATCGATATATTTTAATAATAAGTAATCACAAGATTAGGCAAACCATTTTAAATAAAATGGGAAATATTAATACAAAGTTCGAACACAAAGAAAAACTCCTTTGATCCGGCTAGACCTGAATCATCACTTTCGCCATACTGTGGCTGACGCTCTCCCAACTGAGCTACGGAATGAAATAACAACCCTTACGAATTTCTCTATGTGGTTGTGGAAGGTCTTTGTTTTTTGATTTTAAGCGTAAACGATTCGAACGAGGGTTCATTTTTTACCATAGCGCATCTGTGAGAAATCTATGAAAGTTTTCGTCACCCAACCAGGTACCTTCCTAGCTACCAACGGCTGACTAGAGATGTCACTTTAATATTAATAATGGATGTAGTGGAGTGCAGAGTAATTTCACAGAAAATAATTGAAATTCATGGTAGTAAAACATGGCGATATTCAATAAACTTAAAATAATATTAAAATGGAAAATAAACAATGGGTATTTTCACAAATATTCTAATAATAATATTCTTTATTGTACAAAGAAAAGACACATGAAACACACGTTACAATGGACATATACAAAGGTGAGCTTATCTCTATAAGAGATCTCTTCCAGCCAACCCTAGCCGTGGTGCAAAAATGAAGTCTGCGGGACTAATTAATGTACAACAAAATTTAAATTTAAATGTGAATAAAATATAAATGATAATAATATACATACATATGCACATACACGAACTTTATATACATAAATACATACATAAGCAGAATATATATTATAATAACAGATCATTTGTTTACAAATATGTTACCTATAAACTATCTAACGCGTTCGACAGGAAGTGCTCTTTTAATTTGTGTTTGAAAGATGCCACCGATGGACTATCACGAATGTTAGCAGGTAGTTTATTCCACATACGAGCTGCACTTACGGTAAAAGAATTGTGAAAGAATTTGGAGTTGGATTGGGGATATAAAAGTGTTCTAGTGTCACAGGTACGTTTTGGGCGGGAATTGGGGGATAAGGGGGAAAAACGGGAACACAGATAATGAGGAAGCTGGGGGTAATTTAAAATTTTATAAAGAAGACAAAGAACGTGCATATCTCGGCGAAGTCGGATTGGGAGCCATTTCAATTTAGTCCGAAATTCAGAGATATGGTCATATTTACGTAAACCGAATATGAAACGGATTGCCAGATTTTGTAGGCGCTCTAGTTTGTTAAGCAGCTCCTCAGTAACATCCAAATAACAAACATCGGCATAGTCGAGAAGAGGGAGTAGTAGGGACTGAGCAAGCATAACCTTGGTGTTGAACGGTAAGAAGAATTGAAGCCGCTTGAGAGAATGATAGGAAAAGTGCATGCGTCGACTAACCTCATTTACCTGTGGTCTCCAGGACAGTGTACGGTCGATTATCAGACCCAGGTTCTTTGTATTTTCAGCATATGTAAGACTCACTCCATCATACGAGACCTTGGGGAGATTATTAATGTCCAACCTGCAGTAAAGTCTGTTGCTACCTACAATTATTGCCTGTGATTTCCTAGGGTTTACAAGCAAACCAAACGCATCAGCCCAAGACTTCACCACAAGAAGATCCTTATTAATAGATTCAATGGCAGATTGGGTATTGGCTCCATCAAAATGTCTATAAATTTGCAGGTCATCTGCGTATAAGTGGAATGGAGGAGAAATTAATTTAGTGAGCTCGTTTATGAACAGCGAGAAGAGAAGAGGTGAAAGTACACCACCCTGTGGCACCCCTGAAGTCAAAGGAGACCAATCAGAATAAATGTCATCATTCCTGATCCTTTGATAGCGATTGCGGAGGTAATCCGAAAACCAAGCAATTGCAGCAGGGGAGATGTTAAGAGAGCAGAGAATGGCAAGGAGGATGTCATAGTCGACAGAGTTGAAAGCACAGCTGAAGTCCAGCAAAACAATAATGGTAAACAACCTGTTGTCCATGGCGTGGCGAATATCATTTTAATTGCTCGTAAATTAAAGAAGCCGAGGTAAAGTGGAAAAAAGGTATATATAAAATAGGTATTACGATAATATAACGTGAGGTCGACATTAGCACGCTTAGTACTTTATAGTTCTTGGGCGTGAGAGGCCAGGTTGAGTTTTTTATTAGTCATAATATAGAGTTTATTAGTCATTAAGTCTAATGTTTCCAGTCCATCAATACGTATTTAAATATGTATATTTATTTACTTACTTATACAGGGTGTAATCGTTAAGTGTGTCCAGTTGGTTATTTCATAAATATTACAAGAGACTTCAAAAATCTTTAAACTGATATCAAAAGTACGTTCCCTAATGAGTAAAACTGAATTAATAAATGTTTCTTAAATAAATTTAATATGTTTAGTATGACATTCGTAGAGAGGCTTTAGTTTCGAACAACTGCTTTGAATACAGAATTTATGTGTTTGTACTACTTTTATGGACAGCGAGTCGCTTACCACGGTATCATAAAAAAACTTCAAAATAAACATCACTTCAATTAAAAAATAGTTTTGTTACTTTATTTATAGAAGTTTCATTCATCTGTAAACTTATTAAATGTATGAGAGCGTTAAAGTTAAAATTTTGGGTATTTCTAATTTTAATTTATAAAATTTATTGATATTGTTTTACTCACAAGGTAACGTACTTTTGATATGTTTAAAGGTTTTTGATATCTCTTATATTTGATTCATAATTGCCTGGGTACACTTAGCGATAACACCCTGTATAGAGCTTGCAGGAATGTTTATCAAACTTTAGAATAATAAAATATACTTAATCTCAATTAGCGGCAAACACAACATGCTTTTAAATACACAATAAACATTGCAACTTAATTAAAAAAGGTAGTGTAAAAGAAATATATTAAAAAAGACGATTGTAGAGTTGGTTACACTAATTATCTCACTAGTGTTGCTAAAGGAGTTTATTATATAAATATAAATATAAAATAAAAATAAATTTATTGAATATTTTTTGGAAAAACTCTCAAAAGTCTAGTATTCAAGAAAGCGTTGGTCAAAAGAAGTTGAATTTTGTTTAGTTTGGACAGGTACGTTCAAAGTGGTTCAAATTATCTTTACTACGAAATTTTTTTAGTGCTGGTACATTATCTAGATACATGATCGTAGAGTGTAAGACACAAAAATACGAAGTAATAAATAAAACTTGATATCAATTAATGTTTTCGTAAGGTGTTGCAATAGACAACAATCGTTAATAATCCCTTCGATGACTCACTTATCTATTATTATTCCGATAAAATTTACAACGTACCTAATGTACGAAATCGTGAATTTATGAGTGTGCTATGTAATATACAATATTTCAAACGAAATTTACCTCACTGACGGGATAGGAAATAGCATGCAAAGTATCGTGTAGTAGTGTGTAGCTCGTCAATATTTTATACTCTATGACAAGAAAGAACTACGAGTAATATCTGTCATGAAAAGTTAAAAGACAAAAGCGTTGTTGTTTTGCTTGGCACGAGCGAAAATAAAATTAGCGCTTTTATAATTTCACCAATTATTTTTCGCGAGATTATTCCATTATTCATGACATCTTTATCAATATCAAGTCATACACATATCACTGTGAGCATAGCTCTTCTCATCGTATCGTCATAATCAGTGTTAGGTTTAGGTAATTAAACTTCTTTTTCGGATCTAATATTTGTTTTTTTTATCAAATAAACCAAAACCAAAACGTTTTGTCTTTTCAAACATAAAGGCTTGTTGTTTGAAAAAACAAATGAATCCGAAAGATCCGAAAAAAAGTTTCACTTCCTATGTGTAACAATTTCGAAAATCTAAGAACTCGGTGTATCAAGTTCCTTACCTTCCGGTAGCGTAACGGAAATAATTGCGGTAGCATCTAAGGTTCGAGGTTTAGTAGCTATTATAGTGAGTAACAGATGTTGTTGAATTAAGACTTCGACGGGAAGTTTTGAGGCTACTAAATTTATGTATCTTCCATTCCTTTCCACTTCAAAGTGGTCGCTGTGTTCTGAAATCGTTTAAAAACTTTTTAGATATCTTAAGGTCATTTGAAGCTGGTAAGATTAAAAAAAATAAAAGTTGGCGAGAGCCATATTATTTTAAAGATTATGGAAGATTGTAAAAGATTACAATTTAATATTTCTCAATTAGAAACCAATAAAAAACCGCAAAGCTAGTTGGATTTTTGGAGCTTGCGTTACATCAGAAATTAATTGATACGGATTATTATCCGTAAAAAGCTCATGCCAAAAATTTTAGTTTGGTAACTAAACTACGGTAAGAAATTCAAAATTAATTAAACAGACATGACTTTAATCTCTACGATTTCATAGGGGTTTTTATTCAAGTTACACTACGGCTAAAGTTCTGTGCTAATTTTATAAAAGAAAAATATTAAGAAGACCTTTAACCATCTGTTTAAAGATAGTACAGCTACTGTTCAGTTGTACTCCTAATGTATGTAAGAGCGTCTCTACTTTATGAAGATTTTAGAAGGATACATACAATGTATGTAACAAAACAACATCTTTGAAATTAATTGAAAGTATTTTCCAGCTTATGTGTCAGCGACGACATATTTGTTTTCAAAAGAAGCAAAATGTTTTATCGAATTGAAACTTCACTTTGGCTTAAGTAGTGCATCGACTTTTGTGGCTATATCTTATTGTTACATACCTCCGCTAAGTTCAAATTGAACACTGTCATCGTATCCCTGAACCAATACAATTTGCTCAAGGGTCAGTCCAGTGACCATGTCAAAGGTACCGCTGTATATCGCCTTCTCGAACGCCGGTGAATTGATGTCGTCCTTTATTATACCAAGTGTAACAATAGCCGATGCTGAGCTATAGTCGTTCGAAGCTATTACTTGTAGAGTGATGAAGTTGTTTTCAGCAATAATGCTTTCATCCAGATTGGACATTGCTAGAGTTATCATACTTCCTTGGATCGTGGAGGAAAAAAAAGATGAATGGTCTGAAAAGCAACGTAAGAGTCAAACGAGTTATTTGTTAGTTTTTCCTTTTAATGTTAGAGGTTTTGGGTTATCTGAAATCTATTTGTCTCAATAAGCGCGTCTATTCAGAAGTTTTGGATCTTAATTTATCCGTCACATCAACAACCCACCTATACGTCCCACTTCTGGGAACGGGCCTTCTCTCAGGCGAGGCTTTAGGCCATAATTCGCCATAGCGGGTTGGGGACTTCAAACGTTTTCTCAGGGATATGTGTATTTCTGATAATCTTCGGTGTACAGGTTTCACCATGCTGTTTTCGTTCACAGAAAAGCTCATGGCAAATTTAAAGTTAAATTTGGCACATAAATTCCGAGAAACTCAGAGGTGTGAGCTCGGATTCGAACACACGACTTCTGCTTGAGAGGCGGTAGGTCAAGTCATTAGGCTACTGCAGCTTTGTTAATTTTATTCGTCACAGTTTAAGGAAAATGTTATATCTTAATTTTCTCATATAATAGGTATTGAAACCAAACATACACCCGTATGTTATATTATTCAGCATTTTAAATTTCGTTAAATAAAGCCAATATCAATGTCAATAATATGGGGAATTACCAAAAAATGTGAACGTTATTCTAATCTATACAATATCAACTACGTAATTAAAAATAATCTTTGCAATTTTTATATAAACTGTTGGTTTTGAAGGACTACATGCGTCAACAGATAAATTAAATTGTCTTGCGTTATTTTTTCTCAGTATATCGTCATATTTGTGAAAAATTCATCGTATTTAATCGTAGTTACTCCTCAAATTAATCATGTATAATTGTGTTTGCCAATATTTCTTTAATGATGAGATTATGTTTCTTTAAATTAAATAATGCTTACCTCCAAGAATAGTAACATTAACGCCGTCTTGATATCCCTGGGTCAAAGTCAACGACAACGATTGCAGTACATTGTCAACGATAGATCCGCTGTACTGCGGTTGGCTAAACTCCAGGCCCAACACTAGAAATATTCATTTGAAACTAAGTGAGGCCGAGTGGGAACTATCTAGTACGACCATTACTGGAAAGTGCATCGTTTTTTTTACAGGGTTGAGACTTTAGGCTGTTCAGCTATAATAGCATGTTAGTTTCTGTACTTTTAACAGTATTGGAATAATTACGCCACACAGTTGAAAGCGCAAAAAAATACATGCCTATTGTCTATATAAAGTATATGCAACTTTAGAATGAAAGTGATCTAATAAAAAATATTCATTTTTTGGGAAAACGCAATATAAGTTTCGTTGTTGTGATATTGCGCATTATTTAATTTATTACTCTTAAAATACTAAAGGCAATGGCGTTGTCAGTTCTATAAAACGATGAAACATTTATATTCTACAAAAAATATCAGCTATAAGGTCACTTTTTACCGAATTTTTTTTGCTGTCATTTGGCCTAGCCTTTAATTTTTATTAAGTCTCTTCCATTTTCTCCAGCTAAGCAAGATGTTATGACCTTAGAAATATTAAGGAGTTTTAATTGAGAAAGAGAGTCCAATAAATATAATACAGTAAGTCCCTTTTGTAAAAAATCAATAATGATTTTTGGAAGAAAAACGGCTCAATTGCTAATTCTCCACTTTTACACCAAAAGTGGTGGTCTTTCCAGATACAGAGTCAACACTAAATGCGGCGTTAACACCGACGCGGGAGTGGAATTTCAAACATATTAAAGAGACCCACATAAAGAGTCTGAACCACTCAAGCCGTAATGATTTAGTTCCAAATCAATAACCTAATAAACAATGATTTTTAAAGTCGTTTTACGGCTTAAACTAATTTTCTTCATTTTTTGTATTAGGTCACTTTCATTTTAAAGGTGCGTATAACTATTATACAGGGGTGCACGAAAGGAGTCTCCCCGTACGACGTACCAATCCTTTCTTGTATGTCGAGTACGTTACGCCGATTGGCAAATCCTTTCACCGCGATGGCAAGCATTATAGTGTACGCCATCGGTACAATAATAAGAAGAAACCTGTATAGATATCATTCACAAGATATTTAATTAAAAACATTTGTATTGCACTAATCCTGTAAAGTAATAACGGACATAAATGTATGTATATCATAAAACACACTTACCCATAAACTTACCATGATGTACGTATTTATCATTAAAATGATTCTTCGTAAAAAATTAAGCTAAGACATTAATCTAGAGTATTTATAACGTGATTGTGGTTTTCGTTTTACTTAATATAAAAAAATTAATCCTCAACTAAAACTAGTGGAGGCATCTTCTTTAACTAGATTTCACAGTCGCACTTAGGGATATAGGCTCCGCGTACATAGTAACTGTTTCAAGTTTATGAACCGCGTTGTACATTGTAAAAATTCTGAAATAATATCCCTTATTGCCTGCTTGATCATTAGACGCGACTCCGAAATACTTATAAAAGAAAAAGCTACTCCTCAATACATTTTTACCAATTTATTGACTTATAGTCCTTTAATACCTTCGGGCAGTTGCACAAATATAGCAGCTGTAGCTCCACTGGTGTCCTCTCTTACTGCTCTGACAACAAGAATAATTCGTTGATCCCTTAAGACCTCGTCTGACAACGGGGTGGTAACAGTTAAGCGCATTTCATTGCCACCATTGACGAGTTGAAAATTGTCCCTGTATTCTGAAATGTTCGAAGTAACAAAAAAAAAATTAAAGTTTTAACAAACTACTTATTTGTTTATTGGTGAACTACTTAACTGTTTCTTGAAACTTCTGAATAGGCGGATTGACTGCATATTTGCAGTTAATGCGTGAAGTCGTAATCAACTTCATGCAACCAAGACCACGACTCGAGAAGTCGGTTTCGATTGCATGCAGTTAATGCGTGAAGTCGTTATCAGTTCCACTCATTAATTGCAAACATGCAGTGAATCTGTTAGCTTATACCTTTTATATGCTTTTACCTTTTACTACTTAGCTTTCTTATTTATTTGTAGTTTTGTTTCGAGAGTAAAAACGTGTAGGGAGTTAAAGATCTACTACTATAAAAATCTCAGTAGTTATAACCTAATTATAATAGCAATAGAGACCTGGGAAGTACTGCCACCTTACCTATTTCTATCTTTCGACAGAAACAGATTACTGCGTTCCGGTTTTGAAGTGTAAGGGTGTTGGTGAAATTACTGGCACATGACTTATCAACTACGAACGAATAGCTCGGAGTGACGGATGCAGTGGCAGTGCTCCTCAAATATTTGCGGTTTAAAGTTCTGAGTGGCTTTGCAACTGCTACGGACACTCATGTCGCTTACCACCAGGCGTCTTACTACTTGTCCGTCTCGTTACTCAGTATCATAAAAAAACCTTAGGAGTCAAATTGCTAGCAAAAAGTCAAACCGTCATTGAACATGGAATATTGTAATGTTTATTTCTGAAAATTTAGTAGTTTTCAACTGTCACGTAGTACAATAAAAAGTTTCTTCTAATCTTTATTATTTTAGAATATTTCTATTCTGAGCACTCAAATCAACTTAAACTTAACTAGCGATCTGAGGTCATGGTTAAATATTAGCCTATACTTAATATATAAAGCTTTCTATTAATTTAGCTTAAAATGGCCTTCTCGCCTACGCGATGGCAGTAGAAAAAAGTTTCAGAAAGATTGGCTTAGAAATTAAAGATTTAAGTTTAAGATGGCAACAGATCAATTCCACATGATCCCAGCTATTAACTCCTCGCTAACTTATGTGTCATGGATTGAGAACTCATCTTGGTATTATTTACGATTAAATTAGAAAATAAGCTTATGTATTTTTGTGTGTAATTAAAAATAAATAGCGTAGTAGACTCCACTCCCTTAGAGGGACCTTAATTATAATTGTTTTATAAACTATGCTCTTGTAACACTCAAATAAGTCTAACTATCCAAAAATATTTATTATATACCTTATTAAGCTTGCTTACCTCCTTCTAAAGTAAATGTAACATCTTTGTGATAGCCCTGTTGCAGTGAAATTAGTTGCTCCAGAACAATTTCGTGAGATGTCGTGTAGCTGGCTAAGTAATACGGTTGGGAGAAAATTGGTTCAATTGGCATTTCGAATCCCGCGTCTCCTTCTATACGAACGATTGCAGTCGTTGTTATATTAGGATCTCCAGTCAAATCTACGTCCTGATAGAAAAGTAAAAATTAACAAAATTAGATGATTTTAACGTTCATGATACTTACTATGTTTATTACTCAAAGTGCTTTGTCAAACCTTACCGTCGCATAGATTTCGAGTTCAACAACTTCGGGAAGGGCTCTTATTAAAGTTTTAGTCCTAAGTACAGCTTTAAACTCCTTAGGGACATTGGTAGCGGTGTCGTCGTAAGCAATTTCGAAGTATTCGTTATCTTCGATATCGAAGTGAATTCTCTGAGTAGTAAGGTCTATATCTCGTACAGTGATATCGTTGACGCAGCCCGTGATATGAAATCCCGGGGGAATCGGCGTAGCGATAGAAAAATCGTATACATCAGTTGGTCGAAATTCAGGAGCATTGTTGTTCGTGTCCTGTATTCCTATACTAAGTATCTGGGAAAACCGAAAGTATTAATATAGTAGCTTCCAATTAAATGATCTTGCGAGTTTCCAAATACAGCAAGTATATTTAACACAAGGCAAGTATATGTGGCAAGGAATATGTTACACAATGAAAGAAGGGTAATACGGTGAACTTCTTTAGAAGAAAAGATTTACATGTGCATTATGGTGAATTCTATGATAATAATATTTTGTAAAGGTTATGAAATAATGTCACTCATTACCTAACATCACTAATACAAGTCACTCATTACCTAACATCACTAATACATTGTAATTGAATATTATTTAAGAACAATAATTGTTTTGATGATACAAAGATCGAAACAACCACAAAGAAAAGCTCATTCGGCCCGACTACACTCGAACCAGCCCGTGTTGTCTCAACGTGGGTTCCTACCTATGATACCAAGCAGTGAGACGTATATAAACGGTTTGATGATGTCATGACATTTGCGATATATCTATTTTGATTATTTGCTTACCAAAGTGACAGTGCTGCTGCCTGTACATTGAAAATCAACAATGACGGTCATCACATCATTAGTTTCGTACTCTTCGTAATCTCTAAAGGCATCAATGGTAGATAAGTCAAATAAGTTGTTGTTGTGGGTGACTTCCACGTACGGCCCGTTATTAATCTCTCCACCGTATCTTACGTCGTTTATTCCTGAAATTGGTACATTTAAATACTGATTGGAACTGGCAAATATTCAAATGTTCTACTGTATAGAAAGTAGTTACTGCCGCCTATAGGTACACTGCACACTCCCAGACCCGAAGCAATATAGAACAATTTTTTCGTATCGGACTCAGACTTAGCGACACCGTGAAAACCGGTGAGCAAATTACTCAACCGCGGAGGTCATCATAAAAATTTGAAATTCAAAGTGTATTGCGTGTCCGTGAATGTATGTACCTCTATATAATATGTAGTTTTCTAACAGTACATTACAGCAAATTGTACTATTATTATTTATTATACTACCATATCAGGGCTTGCGTTTCTGGAGACCCATACCAGCAGCTCAGCTTATGTTGGGCTCCAGTCTCCCACAATACATAATCTCCCACAGTAATAATAATATGAATATCTATTGCACTGTTGCTTTGTTTTGTACTGTGCAGATAAATAAATTAAAAAAAGTGCAGCCAATTACATTATCCAAAAATTATGATTTTAATTGAATTTTTTTTTCATATTTCAACAATTTACAATTATCAAGTGACTGGACGAACAAGTCGTGCGCCTGATGGCAAGCTACACGTTTGTCCATAACAATTGCAGTGCCACTCAGAGCTTTAAATAACAAAGATCAGAGGGGCAACGCCACATCGCCCGTCACCATGAGACATAAGTTGACAAGTCTCATGTGCCTGTAATTTCATCAGCACCCTTACCTTTAAGCTTTACTTAACAATTAGGAGCTCTACTGCTACTAATTGTTAAGTAAAGCTTAACTGTGGTATAATATTACTATGAAACAATGTTCTAAATAAATGGTTAGAAATTCTTAAAATTTGATCGCTAAGCCACATGTTTTCATTTCATTATATACCTGCCAAATTTAAAATCAATACGTCGAGCGAGTTGAAAAATGAGCGCGATTCCGGATCGTTGAGGCTGATTACATTCTTTGCGTTATCTAAAATTACGTGTCTCTTTTGTGATATTAGTAAGTGAAAATAAATTGAAAGACACACTTGTGTACGATATTTTATAGTCCTTTAGTAGCAGCAGATCTCCTTGTGAAAGAGCGAGTCCAGGGTGGTACTGCCACCTTAGTTATTTATGCCGCCAAGCAGTAATGCGAGCATTACTGCGTTCTGGTTTCAAAGGGTAAGGGGTGCTGGTAAAAAAACAGGCACAAGGGACTTGTGAAATTTTATCTCAGGACAGGCTGGTCGCTTAACATCAGGCACACGACTTGTTCGTCCCGCCACTTGGTACCATAAAAGTTCGCCCTGTGACGTCGTTACTTTTATTATTTTATGATAATTTTTGTATAGGTTTTAAATCACGGGGCAGGTGAAGGTACCGAGGTCGCCTGTCACTATACGCTATGGTTTTATAAGGTGAAAATTATTGGGTTCTTGGCTGGCAGATGACTGATTGTGTAGTACTTCGGAAACTTAAGGCGGCGATGCAACAAAAGAAGCAATGCAACATAACGTTTATCTTGTACATGATAAGGTTACATTTCTTTAAACAAAAACGGTTTATTATTATTATTATTAGCGGCAATTTGAGGTGACCCTTAATTATACTATAGATTTCATGCGTACGTCTTTATGCTGTGTAACATACATATATATATATATATATACATACACCTCCGGACACATAATTAAAGCCACTACGCATTTTCAGTACTAAGTGCCCTAAGCTCAAACAACGTTTGATTGATCAAAAAGTATTATACAATTTTGAAACTAGTATATTAAACGTCTTTTCCGTAAGTCCTCATGGAAAATTTTTTCTTCGATGATAACACTATTTTTGTATTCTAGCCCTTTACGATAAAAATGCGAGGTGCCTCGAATTATATGTGTCCGGGAGTATATTTATATGTATATGATAATAAATTACGAAGCAGTGCAAGATACTCTGCTTCATAACTTAGTAACATGCACCAAGACGTGCCTGAACGTAGGAAGAGGTTTTGACTATGACATGATAGATTTCATTATTTATTTATATAAAAAAATAACATAAACAAGCGCTTACTCTCTATATTAGTGGTCGCTGCACTGAAAATGCTCCCACTGTAAATATCTTTTATGTCCCTCCTTATCGGGAGGTTCCAGTTAGTCACACCATCCATTTGGCAACCTGTCAAAAATGGTTTAAAACATAAGTATGAAATTAATTAAAATTTGAAGGTATCTAGTTTTCTTTGGCGGAAAACACAAACACAACACTAATAGGTGCAGCACAAGGGGCAATGGTACAAACATCTTCGAAAATCGTTGTCCATTCACGTGTTAACTAACTACAAAAGTAAGGGTACATTCCCAGTAAATGAATGGGTAACCCTATGCATATGCTGCGTCATGCGCGCCAATAACGTGTGCTATTTCCTCACCTTATTTTAGACCTGGTGTCGGTGGTGGCCATTCGAATACATAGAGCAGTAACATACAGTAGCACCAAGAGAAGACTTTGTTAAAATTTAGTAGATTACATAAATATATGTATACCTAAGTATTGTAACGTGTTTCAAAAGCATTTTATGAATTTTTATGTATTTTTTATTATGTTAATTTACGAAGTTTTTCTTCACATGTCTACAACTACCTACTATAGTGGAACAGAGACTTATTTAGGGATTATTTTCTTATTTTAAAGCTCATGTTTTCTGTGTGAACTTCTTATACATCTGATTTTGATTACTGGTCATTTTCTTCTGGGGATGACAAGACAAGTTAGACACTTTCTGTGGAGAGATACAGAATACTCCTTCTAAAGTAAACAAATTATAATTAGGTGTTTTTTTCACTCTAATTATTTCCATACATCCTCATGTTCAGGCTTGTTATAAAGATTTGACAGTCATTTTGCTATCGGCGTTCTGCTTGATTATTTATCTACGTCACATATTAATTACATGTTCATATATAGGTTTACTTTCAAAAACATGACTAAGGAGCCGATTGCTTAATATCATTCTTTCACACAATTAATTAACTAAAATTCACTTACCATGGCTCAAATGAAGCGAAGTGGCTAAGGTGATAAGTAATAAATTTCTAAGAAGCCACATGCTGTTATATTTTATGTAACATATATATTTACCACCATACCTGGAAGGAGAGTTACTGAATAAACAGATCTAATAATTATTCATGTACGAACTGTTTTGCCTCAAGACTAGAATAATTTTCTGTTGCATGTACCTACATGTAACTTAGAACTATTAAATTCTCAATCGTACTTACGCAAATTCTTTTATGAAGTATCCTTCTAGCTCTTGCAACTACGTATATACTTTTTCTCTTTGCGTTTGTATTCAAGTATCTTCCATATCACAAATACGTCAAAGCTAGCACATTCCCAAAGAGAAATGAAAACAAGTATTTAGAGTCATTATCTATGCGATATCATTACATGTACCGGACGTCTTGATTATGATTGTAATTATCAATCGATAAATATCGTTCCGACAAAATAATCTGATAAAGCAATAATGTGAGATAACAAGCAATTGCTAAAATTATAACACAGTCAGCCATGCAAAATTTAATTCCGCTTTCTTCTGGCCATCATCGGTAGACTAGACGTGGTGTTCCACCCCTATGCTGTGATTACTCCTACGATACGCACGAAGTGTTACGCTTCCACATTATTTTGGTGAACGGCTATGGAGTCGAATTCCCTGCTTGGTTGGTCCTTTTCAAAAGGAGAGTACATAGGCATGTTTTAGGTTTGTATAATCCATCATCGATCTCATCGCCACTATCTATCAGGTGAGATGGAGATCAAATGCCCACCTATTTTCAGTCAAATAACTCCTATTTACTTTTTGGGAGGTTTTATCTTGAATGTATTTACGTATTATATTCAACTAATTAGGTACCAATGTAGGCACACATTGGTACCCACCTAATTAGTTGAATATAATACGAAAAATATGCTTACTATAAACTTGGTTGGTAAACTTATTATTTAAAACGAGAAAGTGACCGATTACCAACGAGTGTGTAGTTTCTTTTTTTTTTTATTTAGCTAGTATTGCCTCTTTTTTTTAAATTAGGCGGAGTAAAGTCCGTTACTTTACCTATTTCCGTTATCACTGTTCTCACTACGTTACGTATACTACGGACATTTTCGTGACACGAAAGTACAATTAAATAACTAATCTCCGGTTAAAAATACCGGCCTTAAAAGTCATTCATCCCTTAGTTTACCACCCTTAGAGGTGGAATATTTTCTTCAAATTTAAATGGGACTACTTCTGAGGTATATCCTCTTTCCAATAAAAAAGAATCATCAATATCGGTTCACGGTACATAAATAAAACATACAGATGAATTGAGAACCTCCTCCTTTTTTTGAAGTCGGTTAAAAAAGACGGAAAAACAGAAAAGAATACCATAATACTTTAGTTTATTTTACTGCCTTTTTCTTTATTTAATAAGTAAACAGTACAGGTGGATACAAATTCTCGTAATTATGAACATTGGACAGTTGGATGTATGAGTATTTGTTTTGTCCAGAGAGCTAAGATTACGCGCGCTACGCGTTTTGCCTGTTCTCATAGTTCATTGTTAGTCAATTGTAAGTAGATAGGTTTAAAAGTTTACACTCAGAGTCCTGCACTAGGGAAACCCTGTATCGCTGGTGCAATGGACACACACATAGACAACCACAAATTACACCCAAACTCACGAGAGAAATAAATGTAGGCCATTCAAATATTCCACCCGGCCCGGGAATCGAACCCGGGACCTCTGCGTGGCAGTCCAGCAAGGAAACCGTTGGGCAGTTTAATAAGTAATGGATTTTCATACTTACTTTGCAAGCCTTCGCCGGGAACAAGTCGCACGATCCATAAATTACAAACTTTCCGTGTTCGTTTTTTGAAAGTAATGCAAACATTTCCGAGTATTTTGAGATAACTTTTTTATAAAAAAAAACGATCTTAACTTAGTTCGTGGAATTACACCTATTTGCCAAATTTTATATTGAAATCGGTTACCGCAAAGTGCGGCAAACCGGATTCATCCCCTAATTCGCCACCCTTTGAGGTGGAATATTTTCTTCAAATTGAAATGGGATCGATACTGAGGTACCATCAATCCAACCAAAAAGAATCTTCGAAATCGGTTCACAAATGTCGAAGTACTCGCGTAACTTACAAACAAAAAAATATAGTCGAATACAGCACCTCCTTTTTTTTTGAATTCAGTTAAAAACAATTTTTGGTACTATAATCACGGTTACTATGGTTACACACCGATATTACAAAAAAAAATTAAAAAAGCACGTGCATGAACGCACGGACTGGATTTCCCCAGACTTTCCTCTCGCTCAGCGCGATAAAAAAGGATATTCATACACTCTTTCTCCCGCATTTTAGTACGACAGAAATGATGCACTTTCTGACTCATATTTGGAAGAGTAATAAGCCACTTTCCGAGCAAGTGTAGTATAAACATATTTTTTCCGTGCTTATTTCCGTGTAAATAAATTTTCTTCTAAAAATTACGCAGCTACGAGATTATTTCAAAGTCCGCTACTTATCCTAATGGGTAATTCTTATTCTTACGTAAAAAAGTGTCTTCTCTGAGAATTTCTTAATCTAAGGCATGAAAGGTTTATTTGTTTTTTGTTAAGATATGTTGTTGACCGAATCTATGTAATAGCAATCGCAGCTACTCCTGAAATATTCAGGTTTCAGAGTTATAAAATAAAACATGTGCTAAAAGTCCGCGCCATGCCGTGTCCGTACTCCAAAATTTAATATTATTGTTTTTTTATAAAATAAACTGCCATATTAATTGTTATAAATATACTTTGAGGATCAAGCTGAACGTTATAGCTATGTATTTACAAAACAATATAATTTTATCTTCAAGTTTTCTATACTTAATAAAAATCCAAACTTTGTCTTCGATTTTTTTGTCCGAACCGAGGTCTTAAATAAAAAATCGTCCAAGGTAGTAGGAAATTACGAAATTCAGCTGGTATCATTTTATTTGTTTTTTTGAACCGGCAACACTATAATCGGTTAGTTTTTTAAATGGCCTCAGTTGTTGAGGACGAAGTAAAGTTTTTTCCAAAATAATTATTTCAAAAAGGAAAAGCATAACCTGTCCGCATCGTGTTCGACATACCGAAGGTAATATTATTGTTAAAATTATAATTATTGCATTATGGATTATCTTAAACTACGTATATTCTATAAAAAGGACCATATTTACTTAATCTTTAACAGTTGTTAGGTTATACCCGGCACGGCATGAAAATGTCCGAACCAAGGCATTCCAAACCATGGCATTTTGAGAACTTGGTTCGGACATATAAGTGCATGGTTTGGACACACTCCTCGAGTTATTAATAACTACTCAAAGAAATTAATATATCATTTTTAAATATTATTTTTCCTATTCTGTTTTACAATATTAGCTTAATAAACACTTCACTGCATTTTAACAATGTATTAGCATACAGCTTTTGTATTGCCACAGTTTTCCAGCAACTAATGTCATCAGACCTTAGAAGGCTAGAGCATGCAGCCTACTAACTTAAGTTTTATGATTTTATTGGTTTAGATGCCACCGAAGAAGGACCACCCTGACGAAAAGAAAAAAGCAAAAGTAGAAAGAGAACGAAGGAGAAGAGCTAAAATAAAAGCAGATCCTGTAAAATATGCAGAATATTTAAGAAAAGAAAAAGAACGTCGTCAGAAAAGAAAAGCTGAGAAGAAGATTTTACTAATAGGAGATCTCACACCGCGTCATCAAAGAGCAAAGCGTAAAGAGTGGCGTGATTATGCTAAGATAAGGAGAGCAAAAAAGAAGACAGCTGAACGTGCTTTTAGACCTTTCAGGGAAAATACCCCTTCCACCGATTCTGACATAGATCCTGTGCGAGATAGAAGCCCTTCACCATCTATATTTCGTGAAGACATTCCATTGTCAAGATGTAGCAGTCCTTTAACCCCGGCAAATAATGTTCGACTGCAGAATCTAATCAGAAAACGTGTGTCTACACCAAATCTCGTATCCAAAACCAAATCTCCATCAAGAACATTTGAAACCCCATGTACGGGTTCTCCTTCATCTGTGGGTAGTTCAGTTGATTCTGCTTTAAGCAGACAAAAGCTGGAAGGGCTAAAACGTGTTAAGGAGAGCAGAGATCTTGCGCGGTTTGCAATCCATAAACAAGGCAAAATAATAAAAAATCAGAGAAATGAGATAAACAGATTAAAAAAAAAAATACAGAGATTAATAAAAACTCACCAAATTGTACCTACGACAACACAAAAAAAACAAAAACTCCACAAAGAAAATTGGCATAAACGCAAGAATTCTATAGAGAAGTTTTTGGAGGATGAAGAAAACTCCATGATCAGCCCGGGGCTCAAAGATACTGTTACACGAAAGAAGATTAAGAAGCAAAAGAGGTTTCTTTGCGACTCTCTGGAGAATTTACACAAAAAATATAATGCGCAAGTACCGCAAAGCTACCGCGTAAGTTATGCATCATTCTGCCGCCTTCGTCCGTTCTGGATCCTGCGAGCAAAATTGTCAGATCGCGACACGTGCATGTGTGTTTTACATGAAAATTTTAAAATGATTTTGGAAAGACTGAGATCATTGAATATTTTACGAAGTGGAATAGACGTTATCGAAAATGTAGTGTGTGACGTTAATTCTTACGCATGCATGAGTCGAAAATGTGAACAATGTAGTCGCAAATCGCCTCTAATCGGAACATTTGAAAACGATGAAATATCGTATCATCAATGGATTAACAAAAACGAGGAGCGTAATATAAAAGGACACAATAAAACAATAAGAAGAACTGTTAAAGCTAGACTTATAGCGACGAAGAAGGATCTTGTTGAAAAATTTCTCGATTATCTACCAAAGTTTTTGCTACACAAGTTTAATATTAGCAACCAGCACAAAACCCTGAATCACATTAAAGAACATTTGAAAGAAGGGGAAGTCTTAATTCACATCGACTTCTCAGAAAACTTCTCCTGTAAATATTTTACAGAAGCACAATCGGTGCATTTTGGAGCGTCCCGTCAACAAGTTTCTATTCACTCAGGTGTGCTTTATTATCTATCAGAGACCACTGGAAAAACTGAACCAATTTCGTTTTGTTCAGTTTCACCATGCCTTCGCCATGACGCAGCAGCGGTATTCGCGCACTTGAAGAAAGCTCTATTACATATAAATAGAGATAAAAACATCAAAGTTTTACATGTTGCCAGTGATGGTCCGAGTAGTCAGTATAAAAACAAAACTAACTTTTACCTTTTTACTCAACATCTGGTTAACATCTTACACGTTTCTAAGTGTACTTGGAATTTTTCGGAATCCTCTCACGGCAAGGGTCCTGCAGATGGAGTTGGAGCTGCCGTCAAAGGAACCGCTAATAATCATGTGCTTAAAGGAAACGACATCCCAGACTACGAGACATTTGTCCAAGTAATCAAAGAACAATCCAATGTTCTCACCCTTGAAGTAAGTGAAGATGAGATCAAAGAAGGAGATCGTCTGCTGAAGAGTTCTGGGCCAATAAAGAACTTACATGGAATAAAAAAAAATGCATCAGTTGACATGGACTCGGGAACAACCAAAAATGATAAATATGAGGGAATTGACTTGCATCGATTGTGGCATTACAGATGATTGTTCACACTTCTCTACTTCAAGGAAGCAAGAGATAGCACAATTTTCCAGCGTTTTTCATTCAGGATCCAGCCATAAGCAAATGGAGGCTAATAATGAACCTGTTGAATTAGGTTTTGTTACATATGAACAAGATATTGGCACTAGTAATAAAACTAGTACACTAAGTTCAAAAACACTGCGAGAAGGAGTATGGGTGCTGGCAAAGTTTTTAAGTAGCAAAAAACAGAATGTTCTATATGTAGGACAGATAATAGCGGTACATGATGATGGAGACGAACCGTTATACGCAAAATTTACAAGAAAAAGGTATCACAATGTTATAAATGGAACCACTGTGTTCATATGGAAAGAACCTGATGACTTCTGTGCTCTTAATGCAGACAACATTATTCGCGTTTTACCAGAACCCACACCCAGCAGACGGGGTGAACTTATATTCGATTTGGATTTCTCTGGCTTAGAATATCCTGTTATGTAATTATAACAGATTATTTGGCGATATTTGATTTGGCAAAGTTCATATTATTTGGAAATTTGATTCTGACAATTTATGTTAAAGAAAGTATTCATTTGTGAAATCGACAAGACTTAAATATTGATTAAAAAGACTTCTAATTTTAAGTAAGTAATAATATTATGTTAGTCCGAATCCAAAGAAACTCATAATTAATACTAGTATAAGTAAAATTTATTATTTAAAATTTAATAGAATAAACTATCATAAAACAAAAAATCATAAATAAATAAAATACAAGTATTTCATTTGATTTTACACATAAATCAAATTAAATATATATATTTATTTTTTATGAATATTTTGTGTTATGGTAGTTTATACATTTAGTGTGTCAGAAGTTAAGATATACATAATTATATTCATATTACAATTTAATAATTGTATAACAAGTCAGTTTTTATATTTGCTATTTTAAAAAATTAAGCTGTTTTTTAATGAAGAAGTAATAGTTAATTTGTTATCATATATTTTAAAGGTAAAGTCAAATATATTTTATTATGATTGTTAATTATATTTTTAGAGTCATAAATAAACACAAGATTATCAGTATAAAATTTTTTTATTTGGTAGGTCGAAGAGAATAGTTTTTTTTAAACAAGCTATATTTTATTATAAAAATGTCGCAACCGTGTCATGTGATATCCGAACCATGCCGATAATAGTCCAAACCGTGACATGAGTTATCTAAACCATGCCTCTACTAGTCCAAACCATGCCACCAAATGTCCAAACCGTACAATTTCACCCCTTTTTCACCCCCTTCCAGGGATCATTAAGCTCGACAACATACTTTAAAAAAAACTTTGTTGAATAGTCTATCAAAAAGCATTCAAAAATTACAAAAATAAATAAAAAAATTGAAAAAATATTTTTTAAACTCTATTTAAGAACTACCCTAATCTATGATATATAAGGGGTGCTTTGGAGTGCCCTGTATTGCTTCATTAAAACGTTTAAATTGACGAGCTAGTGGGGAACTTCGCGGGCGCAACACCGTAATAAATAATTATATTCTTTAGCCGGCACTAAAATAAATCTAATTTTCTTTATTCAATACATTGTAATTATACTTGCTTTCCTGAATTTCTATTTATCCGATCATATTTGGTCATGGCGACCACTTTGACTAGTTGGAATGACGTTGGTGCGCTCAAAGAGCTCTGCCTCACCGGCACGTCATGGCGACGTCGCCAGCAGTGAATACTTGGCTATCTCTGGCAACCGACAGTCGCCAAACAGAGTAGCCAAGACACGTATGTCGAGTGCCTAGACAGTAATTCGTTTGCATCGTCAGGAATGGACGTGGAAGAAATCGTTAAAACGTTAAAAGAAAATTGCAGTCGGAATATTCTTTTAACACACTACTGTAAGCATGGCTGATTTTCTATCTCCACGATGAATCTTTCTGTATCGAAAGTCATATTTTCTCCAATTTTAAATGTGAAGTCGACGGATGGTTATCGTGTACAGCGACTGTCTGGGGACTGAAGTGAAGAAAGCGCGGTTTACACGCTTACAATTCGTTGGATACGTCGCCAGCGCACTAGAGTCGCCAGAGTCGCTAAACTCCACATAGCGGAGTGTCGGTAGTGGCTACGCTTCCAAATTGGCGACGTCGTCAATAGGTAGTCAAGTGAGGTATCTCCATACATTTCAATATAAATTTTTGGCTAAGTAGCTGGCGACGTTGCCATGGCGTCCCGGTGAGCCAGGGCACAAAGATGACTCATGCAGGTAGCTTCGCGGCGAACCCTCGTGCACATCGAGGGCACGTGGGTACACTGCGAGAGTAACTATGGCGGAGGGTGAACGGCCTTTATCTAGTCACGTTTGACATCGAGTTCAATTTTACGCTGCTCTTCCAACTCGTGGACTTGCCTCTTTACAATCCCTCGGGCGCCATCCATCCATCCATTCAGGGCGCAATGTTGCTGAATTTTCCCATTACTCATTGTTGGTATCTTCTCATATGTCGACTTGTTTTATTTTACTGAATCTAATTTAGATCTATATAAAATACACAATATGTCCTTTCACTTTTATATCAAATATTAAAGTTTAATATTGTACTTTAAGTAGCACAGTAAAGAATGAATTGATGATTGGAAACCGATTTGTGTACAGTGCCTACTGCATCAAATTGGAAATAATTTAGCGTAGGAGTTTTGTATCTACCGGATCTTCTGTTTCTTTTTTTCATGACGATAAATAAATGTACACACATTCCATCACTACGCGCATTTATTTTACAGTCGGAACGAGTCCTTTGCCACACCTCCTGAATTCCGTTTATAGTACACACATACTTGTAGTACAGTATTTTTAATTTACGATTATGTTAGGGTGCGTAGGGTGGGTAGAACTGGTGAATGGGCCGCAAGTGTGCTGCATGTGCGTTGCACGAGTTCAATTAAGTGCGCCTCTGTAATGACATCTCACTACGTGATGCATGTGTGCTGCACTTGCAGCGCATTCGTCAGATTTGCACGCACCCTAAAAATTGAATTCAACATGAAATTGAGTCTTATCCCACGAGTATGTACTTGGCAGAATATCACAAAATAAAAAAAAAGTCTAAGTGTTTAACTTTCATAAGTTAATATCAAAACGTCATTGTTAATAATTGGCTTGATGGATTTATTCCGGTGCCGTGAAACTTATATTTAAAAAAAATAAGATACGTGTACTGATAATTAGATTTACTACGTTTGTAATTCGAAACTGTAAAATACATAGAACATCGGACGTTAATACAAATGTTTAAAATTTAAAGTAACTAATCAATATTGTATGTCACCGATAGAAAATCAGCATTACCTACTATAAATGCATTTTGATATTTCTGACGATGATTATGTGAAAATGCAAATAAAAAAATATGTTGCAGTTGTTTTGTAGGACCGTGTAGACTTTGGTGTCAAAGATAATTGTGATAGGTTTTAACTTATTTATAGCTTATATAACTTAGATATTAAAGGACGTAAGACAAAAAATGAATGCTAGTAGATGTTATGTATTTAGTTTTTACATTATCCCTTTGTGCTAGAATAATCTTGTCACTTACAAAAACATTATCGATAATTGCATTTTAAAATAGTTACTTAGTATTACAAATAATCAAGATACTACATTCCATTAAAAATAAAATGAATACCAGTTCTGGTAATACTATCGTTATCGACAAAATAGATCTATAAAAAAATTCATACACGGTAATTAAGATTACTTGAAAACGACTAAATTAATAATTATTGATGAAACGAAAACTAAATGAAGATATAATTTTATGCATATGCTTTCGGAAGACTAATAAATTCAAATTCAGTTGGTGAGTGTCATGACTGTCAATATTTAAAAAACCTATTGATATTTCTATACGACATTTGTGTTTATTCCACTTGATAAATAATTCTTGATTTATATTCTCGAGTCAGGTGATTAAGCGCTACACACAACTATAATTACAGAACTTAATTAAAGCGATGTTTTTGTAACGGTTTTCTCAGTGCCATGGGTCGATGGTAGTGACGTCATGGTTCTGTTCCATGCTCTCTTGAGGTTTTCTATTCACTGAAACATTCAAGGCTAAAAGCTGTTGTATAGGAAGACGAGGCGATAGGTTTACCATGCTGGCCCACTGACCTGCACACAGTTCTGGAAATTTTAGTTTTTTAAGAAAATGACCTTCCATGAACCAAGGGGACGCGCATGTTGGAGAATAATCCCATAACTTCATTTCGTTCAGTCGAACCCATCTGAAATTGAAAAATAGAGTTGGACCTTTCAAGACAAATTCAAATCTTCTCTCTTCTGTCTTGACCATTGAATACGTTCAAAAGACCATTTTTAAGAGCGATTAAATGCTTTTTTTTAGTCGTGTAGATGGCATACACTATATTGCCTGCTATCGTGGTAAAAGAATTTGCTAATCGGCGTTAGGTGCTCGCCGATTGGTGCCAGACATACAGGAAAAGAATGGTACGTCGTGCGGGGAGGTTCCTTTCGTGCACCCCAGTGCTAAACAGTCACTACAGACGTAGAGCAAATTTTTCTGAAATCATAATGTAATGCCTGTTGTACATTGGCTTACTCTGTGATGCTTACATTACAATTTTGTGTTGTCATTGAAATTTTTATGTACAATAAATATGTAATATTTCATTCATTCATTCATTCATTCATTCAATGTAAGTGATGATTTCTTAGGTTAGGATTGTTACACATAGGAAATGTATATAATGTATATGTTTTTAATTGAAATGGCTACATCATCGTCGATTAGGCATACGAGTAGTCAATTCCTGAAGATAGCCCTTGCGACGCAGTATCGATCTCCGTGTTACTCGATATCTATCAATCAAAGTCTACGAGGGCGCTCCGCAGTTTCTATTCTATCAATTGACGTATCCGCCGTAATGTATTCATCCGAGCTTCTGTTCTTATCGTATAGGTGGGATACACTATAATGCTTTCCATCGTGGTCAAAGGATTTGATAATCGATACAGGAAAGGAATGGTGCATCGTGTGGGGATAGTAATTAGTAATAGTACGACTTACGCGGAAATATAAAGTGTGTGACAATCACAGTGCCACGGGTTGTTTGAAAGCTTGACTACCGCCAGTTTTGGCATGTAATCAAGCGTGCGCGATGGGAGGGAGGGAAACATATTGTTGTCCAGGTATCTGGAACATAAAACAGATAGATAGTTTATATGACCATTGCTACAAGTGATGGGACGAACAAGTCGTGCGTCTGGCGGTCAATCTGAGACATAAGTTGACAAGTCTTTTGCCTGCACCCTTCTTACCCTTCAAAACCGAAGCACAGTAATAGTAAAGGAAAACACTGTGGACGCCCTTGAACAACGTTAAAGAATTTTGTACTCAGTTTACTTTAGAGATAACTTATGACGGGAAAGTGAAGATAATAATTATTTAGACTAGAATTTAATTTAAAAAAGGAAATATTACTTACAATGTTATTAAATTTTTCAATGTTGAAAATGTTTTGAAATGAACTTCGTAGAGCTTGTTATCGGTCAATAAGAGCGTCGTTAGATTTTCCAAGCCGTGGAAACTTGTGAAGTTCAAATAACGTAATTTGTTTTTGGACAAATCAAGTTTCTCAAGGTGAGAGCAATTTGAAAACGTAAAATCTGGTATCTCAGTAAGCGCATTTTCTCGTAAATCCAAATTACGAAGACGTTTGAGTTTTTCGAATTCAGCCCCACTCAACTGGAATAATTGAGAAAACAGATATATAATTTATTTACAGCCGTAAATCGAAACACAATAAAATAGAATTTATTAAGAAGCACACTTACGCTGTTTATATTATTGATAGACAAATCTAAGAAAGTCAAACATTTAAGGTTGCTGAACAAATGTGTCGGGATATTTTGTAATTTGTTTCGATCTAGTAGAAGAGTCTCGAGAGATACAAGATTTTCAAAAGCATTCTCTGTGATATTGCCAATTTTATTCTCAGAAAACTTTAATATCTGCAAAGGTCTTATCGAAAACGTTCCGTTTTCGATGCGCTGTATTTTGTTTTTCGACAAGTCTAATATTAATAATGACTCGAGTCCAACGAATGTATCAGCTGGTATGTAAATTACTTGGTTGTTTGAAATATCGATTGTTTCTAAAAAGGAATTATTAGCGAACAATCTCTCAGGAAGTGTATAGAGAAAATTGTTAGACAGGTCGACATGAAACAGTTTCTTTGTGGATCGGAAAGCTTCGCTGTCGATTTCTTCGATAAAATTTCTCTGAAGTCTTCTGTAAACAAATGAAAGAGCAATTAAAATTTGAGAGTTTCCTTAAATTACAAATTAGTGATTTATCGCTAGAATATTTTAGTCACACACCGCGATTTTTAGCAGCGTGTCTACAGTAATTCAGTCGACGCAATAGCAATACAGTTGCTAATCGGCCACCTTTACACATGCGCGTTTTTATTTGATAATCTTTTTAATTTGATAAATAGAATACGATTGCGATGCAAACGCGATACAGTCGCAGCTGCAGAGACACGATAGCGATGCAGACGTACAGTATCATTGCAAACACGACACAGCCACGAAGCATAATATTTTAAATATCATTGTAGTGAGGAAAAACTAATTATCAAAAATATACTTGCTGACACTTTATAAATGACTTGGCTTAGGTTATTTTGTGATTACTTACTATTTCATCCACACCTTTGAAACTTACTATCAGTATAATTTAAAACAGCCTGATTTTTTCTAGTTTTTAGATAAATTATTCGTAAACTAAATGTATTTCGTGCCAGAACACGAAAATTAATAGTTTGTTATAATTATTAATACAAAAATCGAATACTTAGTAAAAAATTACTTCGATCCGGCTGGATTCGAACCAACTTCTTCCAGCAAACCTAGTTCTAATAAACCTACTACTAAATTCCAGCAAACGAACTAGCGGACCATACGAATTTTTCTATGTGCTTCTTGCTGGTCTTTGTTTTTGATTTTTAATGACATTTTTCCATCTGTGAGAAACCAATTTCTTCATTTTATTCGTCTTCGTTTGTTCTTCTTTAATTGAATATCATGGCGGTCAAATATTGTGACATTCAATAAACTTAAAAAAAAAAGTATAATAGTGTTCTAGGACATTTATAAAACGTGAAACATTTACATAATTGCGCCTCTCACAACATTGACCAAGAATCTAAATTCACGTAATTTTCAAGTATTTTCGTCTTTATATAAGCGGACATCTTTCTATGGTATCGCACACTAACGGCTTCCGCCGTTCTGTCGAGATGTACATGCGTGTCTACATCGATGCAACGGCACGTTTACATATTACAGTGGCACGTTTTTAATAATTTCACATGAGTGACTGCATCGATGCAATCACGTGTTTGCCTCGATTCAACTGACTATAAATCGCTAGTGTTGCGATGCAATTGCTCGTTTCACAAATGCGCGTTTGTATCGTTGCTAAAAGTTGCCAGGTATAATCGCTCTTAAAGTACAGCGGATTAAATTACATTTTACAGTATATGCACGAACGTTCTTATCTTTTCTTCCTTCGTCTCCCAAGATGGTTTGCTAACATAATAGCTATTTTGACTTTTGAAATGTCGGAACTATTCTCGTAGAATTACAAGCCTGCTCATACGTATTGGGTGAAATGGGGTGCACGAAAGGAGTCTCCCCGTATGACGACGTACCATTGCTTTCTTGTACGTCTGGGACATTTTTGTTAGTTGTCTATTTAAAAGAACACTAATATCATTGTAGTGGGTTGAAATTAGACACTTTATAGGCCACAAGACTACTATGATCTATAGGAATACAGTATGTGAGAATAGTAATCTCACACGTTTCAAAGTTGTCTTAACCGAGACTACGCTATGGTCTTTGATCCCCGAACGTCGCGGCGGGGGGTTCAGTAGCCGTGGTATATTTCATCCCACGATGAAGCTAAGAGGAACCCACGGGTCGGCCAATGGAGCTAGGCTGCCCCGAGGAGGAGGGCGTTCCGCGCAGGCTCGTCTTGGTCCGCATCGAGCTGATGCACACGGATGTGTACGGTGAGAAGGTGGCGCCGCGGAGGAAAAGACTTGTCTTTGCCGCTCGCCCTGACTCCTGCGGCCGTATTTGCGCGATTGGCCGGTGCGGTAGGCGCTCCAAGGAGCCTGCCAGCAGATCTGCCGCGGGAGCTGGGGGAGCAATCACTGAACAGTTGAGAGGATGTTGTCCAGGTCACCATGGCCCCTGGGTAGCGGACTTGGAGGAGTTTATTGCCCAGCATGGAGGGCCCCGAGATGGAGGTCGTTTGGTGTTCGGCGAACCTTACATTTGGAGATGTGTCTCCCTTCTCGGTTAGGGGTTGCGCTCGATGTAACCAGTCACTGGTGGGGGCGCGGACGCGTATGATTGCAATAGCTTTCCCGTACCTCAACCTGCAGCGGGGAGGAGAAAATCCGGATTCTCACCTCTGAAAGTTTCTCGGAATTTATGTGCGAAATTTAATTAGAAATTTTACCGTGAACTTTTCGGTGAAGGAAAATATCGTGATGAAACTTCAAGGCTCACAACTCTCGGAAAACGTGCAAGTTCACAACTGGGCCAGCGCGTGGCGGACTATGGGCTAAAACTTCTAATTCTTGAATTTCAACTTGTCATTGAAACAAAGCCACGTGTCAACGAGTTATTTTGTTTACGATTTCGAAAGGAAAGTTTGGATTACAAAACTTATGTAAACGTCGAATAATTGAAAAAATTCTTTCGATCCGGCCGGATTCGAACCGACTTCTTCTAGCAAACCGTGTCAGACGTTGTGCCAACTAAGTCACGGAACGAGCCAGCGAACCTCACGAATTTCGCTATGTGCTTGTTTGTCGGATCTTTGTATTTGGTTTTCAACGACTCTTTGGCGGATTGAAGGAATTTTTTAATTATAATAAAACTAGTGGAGTAATTTCATAAAAAATAATTGAACATCATGGCTGTGAAACGTCATAACACTTAATAAAAATATTTAATTATGTAACCTTGCTTACTAGTTAGTCCAAGCGTGATTAACTAAATTACTATCTTACCAGAATTAAAACGGTAATAAAAATAAAAATTTACAATATCTTCAAGTTGACGAGAGAGTCAAAGATCCCTGCAGGTAAGTACTCCACGTGATTGTCAAACATGTCCAACTCAGTTAAAGACCGCAGCCCTTTGAACGTAGTCTTGTGGAGTGTGCGAAGTTTGTTCGTGCCCAGGTCTCTGAAAAGAACTCATGTTTATTTTCTTTATCTACAGCGCTATGCATTATACGTGAGGCGCACTATAAGTTTCCGTAATGAATAAGAAAAAAATACTATAAATGGTAATAAATTAATTTCATGTTACTCAAAATTTTTTCATACGAATGAACCAATTTTGAAAACATTTATGCCACTCCTCCGTGACAATACTCTTCGACAACCTCTTCAGGCGATGAAAATCGTTGACTGCATAACTGGTTCTTAATTCTTGGAAACAAATAAAAGTCACAAGGTGCTAGGTCGGGACTGTACACGGGATGGCTCATAAGGTCAACGTTGTTCACCTTCAGAAATTCATTTGTCTGTCTGGCCGTGTGAGAACTGGCATTATCGTAGTGCAAGATGATACGGCATTTACGGTTATTTTTACGGAGTTTATTAATAACTTCCGGCACAAGCAAATGGTCGTGTACCAATCACCATTCACAGTACAACGATTCCCTAAAGCAACAGTAGCCACGTGTCCAGTTTTATTTAAAAAAAGAAGTAATCATCCGCTTTGAGGCACTTTACACGCGCGCCACTTTGTTTGGTTTCGGCACATCTCAAAAGACCCATACGCTTGATTGCTGCGTTGTTTAGGGATCGTAACTAGAAATTCATGTTTCGTCACTTATTACTATTTCCCACACCAAATTTGATGCCTCTTCGTTGAATCTGGTAAGCATGGAATTGCACCAAGTGACGCGATTCGTTTTTTGAGCCTCAGTCAAATTGTGTGGGATCCACCAAGAGCACAGCTTTTTCACACCGAGATGTTTGTGTAGTATTACACATTAAAGATGCTCGAATCTCATGGTATGTCATATGCCTGTCTGTTTTGATCATACGGCGCACAGCATCAATGTTTTTGTAGTTCACAGCAGTGGACAGGCGACCATCACGGAATTCGTCACTGAGATTCACACGACCACGTTTAAATTCTGCAAATCAGCTATAAATAGTCGTCTTGCGTGGTGCTTTATCGCCAAAAGCAGTTTGAAGCCGAGTGAAGCTCCGCAGAGCTGTCAAGTTACACTTAAAGTGTAGAAGATCATAGTACGAAAATGTTTAAATCCATGGTGATGTAGACAACCTATTTCTAAAATGACGCCACAATGTAAAAACAAGTGACAGTCAGATGAAGCAAACTGTATTCTACAGCCAAAGAGTTCCATTTTCTACTCTTTTTCTTTTTATTTCTTACTTTTTAAATATTGTTTATGTAAGTGGCCAGTTCCGGAAACTTATAGTGCGCCCTATGTATGATATAATTATACGATATTGTACATATATGATGGAAAGCATCAATATGACATGAAGGGCAAGTACCTTAAATGCTTAAAATAATTAATTTAAAGGAAACATTATTTTATTTTTCTTTACATGAATTTTACCATTGAAGCATTTACCATTGACTTACAAATAAATGGACGACGACGGGTCTAATACAAAAACCACGAAAAAAATGTCCCAAGTCAACCTATTTAAACGTAGTGACATGTAAAGGAATATGAAAAAGCTAAAACGTTGAATTTAAATTGTAATGTCATCGCAGTACTGTCTAATTTTGCTTGCTTCGCTGTCAGTCGAACAAACGAAGACTTAAGCGTGAATGACGCTCTGTATACGATTTTAAGGCCCTATAAGTTCGGACACTTTTTAGCGCGGACCCGACGTCCATATAATTGTAAGTCAATTGCATTTACAGATTTTTTTGAAAAGCTAGTCTGGGGGTCGATTTAGAACCTTACGTTAACTCAGTTGTCGACCGATTCGATTTGATATCATACGATTTCTTTTCATTTTTATTCACAACACCCGAATCGAACGTCAAACTGTCGTATTCGAAATCGAATGGAAATGACGTCACACCCGTACGATTGCTCGAACTTCTTGACAGGCAAAAGCTACAAAATTTATGTCGTCTATGGCTACAAACGTTATTCAGAACACAGTTATATCGAATGAAACTTACCGAACGTCCTTTTGTTTACAAAGCAAGAATGTAATATGGAAATCTCTTATTATTTTAAATAAAGTCTGGATTTTGTTCGATTTTATTAATTTAATGCAAGACCAATGCATGCCTATATTTTAGACCTTTAAAATCTTAAAAACGTATATAAAAGGAATTTAATTTTTCTTATAATCTATTTGGGTTTTACAATGAAAGATTACGATGAAATCAAATTTTTAACCGAGTTCAAAAAAAGGAGAAGGTTCGCAATTCGACTGTACTTTTTTGTTACACGATAACTCCGACAATAATTTGCGAACCGATTTTGATGATTCTATTTTGTAAAGAGGGTACCTCAGTAGTGGCCCCATTTAAATTTGAAGAAAACATTCCATCTCTAAGAGTGGCAATCTAGGGGGTGAACGACTTTTGAGGTCAGTTTTTTAGTGCTCTGTACTGAGATTATTTTATTTATTTATCTCCACAATACACAACAAAGCAACATTGCAGTAGTATACATATTATTACATAAGCTTAGAGTAATGTATTGTGGAAGACTGGCAGCTCTACGAACACAACCTCTTTTAAAATACAGTAAAATTTGTTTTTAACAAACACACAATCTCCAGTTTCGTAAATATTCATCTTTTTAACCGACTTCCAAAAAAAGGAGGAGGTTCTCAATTCGAGAACATTTCTTTTTGTATGTATGTTACGCGGTAACTCTGGAGTTATCGCGCATTTGTGAATCGAATTTGATGATTCTTTTTCTGTTGGAAAGTGGGTAACTCAGCAGTGGCCCAATTTATATTCGAAGAAAATATTCCACCTCTAAGAGTGGCTAATTAGAGAATTAATCTTTCATATGGCCATCTAATTGTCCTGTTTTTACCTATAGAGATACCGAGGATATCATTAAAGGTAAACAGTGGATATTCAGGATAATATTATTACAGCAGATAAAGTAATGCCTTATCCTTGAGCTATGATAATTTTTCTGTTATTATCCTGACATTGCGTCGTGCGAACTAACAAATACGCAATAGCAATAGCTGTGAGAGAGAAATGGCGCTACTCAAATAATTAGCCGATGCTACGATTTGCAAATCTGATGATTATAATCTTTCAGTGCAGAATACAAAGTTCTCTTTAATTTATATTTTGTTGTTATAAGTGTAATAAGTAATTCATATGAAACTCCGATAATGTGCTTTATGTAATTGGAATAATGTCGATTTTGATATTTGATATCAACAGGCAGTTAACATCAATCAATTTCAATACAACTGGTGCCGAAAACAGACGTTTTCTTTTGATTTATTGGTGTTGTTGTTGCTGAGTAATTTATATAACCATATACATTATAATAATATCCATTAATAGTCAACAACAACAATAACATTATAATAGTAACAGATTCGTTTTCATTGCGGTGACGCCATTACGTGCGTTTTTTTTTTTGCTTTGTCAGTGTGTAAACAACTGTAAAAATATTTTTTTTACTTTTGTCCATAATATTCAGTGTTGGTAAAAAAGTTGATTGAACCATAACAAGTTACAAAATATTGATTGACTATCATTATAACGTTGTATGCAAAACTACATAACAACAGGATAATAGGATAACTGATAATAGTTTATGATAACAGTTGTTGAAAAATAACAGTTTTAGTAGCAATAGAACTCTTTGTGAAAGAGTTCGTCTAGGAAAGCGCTGCCACTTTATCTATTTCTGTCACGAACGTATTAACAAGTTACGGGACGAACAAGTCGTGCGACTGGTGGTAAGTGACACACCTGTACATGGTAGTTGCATTGCCACTTAGAGATCTGAGGTACACTCACTGCGCCTGCCACCTTGAAATATAAGTTGACAAGTCCCATGTGCCCGTAATTTCACCAGCACCCTTACCCTTCCGGAACACAGATTACTGTGCTCCGGTTAACAGAGCATTAAGTCACATTACTGCTTGGCGGCAGAAATAGATAAAGGGCAATATTTCCCTGGACGAACTCTTTCACAAGAAGCTCTGCTGCTCTTTCTTACTTGCTTGCTTTATATTTATTATATCATATATTTATATTATATAACTTGGTTTAATAATAATGTGATAATAAAGTGAAGGAGGTGAAGAGAGGAGCAATGCTTATATCTGTCGTTGCGACGTTCTGGCAAGTTTATTCTTTTACACCCCAATAATTTTATTTACGAGCGGATTTAATTGAAAGGGACTCACCCTGAATTGCGTCATGGTCGTTCTTTTCGGTCGCCTACATATATACCCTACAGGTATAAGAGATCGTTTGTTTATAAGAGATTATTCTTTATTTGCGTTTTGATTATTGATTGATACAATCTCGGATTTTAGGGACTATGGATATCGTTATGTAGAGGATACTTATAGAGAATATCTTTAACATTCGAACTAAATAACTCAGTACACTCATCACCAATACATACCACACAATATATATATATATATGTATATATATATAGATCTGAACACCTTTATGTTAAATATTTCCGTGTACATACATATACTCGTATATACACAATTTTATTACCTACTTCATAATATGTTGTGCTTTAAAACTTTGGAAAAGTAAAGAAAACTTTACTTACATGGTAATAAGATCTGCAGGCACAACGAGATCCGCTGTGAGGGTCGAGAGACCAACGCGCCAGCAAGTCAGAGACTTACGAGTGGCATCGCACCGGCATACTCCTTTTGAACATTGCCGCCAACGAGACTGGGCGAAACTTATTGTCCATGCTGTAATATTAAAAATATATTAAACAGTGTCAACTATCTTCGGAGGAGTATTTGGGAACTGGAGGACCAGATTCAGTAGAGAGATAGAAGAGCTAGTGTCTGAGCCGAACGTAGTCGGGAAGATAAAATCCGGCCGACTTCGCTAGCTAGGGCATGTGAAAAGAATGGGAGAGGAGCGAGCTGCCAAAAGGGTGTATTTGGGGCAACCTACAGGTCGTCGTTGGGCCGTCCGAAATATCGCTGCAAGGATAGAGTCCCCAAAGTCCTGAATATGCCCGGATGGTGGGAATAGTCATAAGATTGAGAGAAATTACGTACTTTGGTGTCGGAGGATAAGATCGTCTTCGTGTGGTTAACCCAGAGAAGTAACTAACTCTGTCAACTATGTTCCTTTAAATTTGTGAAAAATCAGCAGTTCTTTGTTACAGTTCATGCTTTATCTAACGATCTGCATAGAACAGCGAGCCTAGCTGTCGCACCTTGAAATGGCCCGACGTACAAAGCGAAAAGTAAAGCCCTAGACATTTTCCAATCTATCCAAAAATTTATATGGGAATCGTAAAAAGGCACTTTATTTATAAGCGGGCTGAATTTTTTTTGTGATTGATCGATTGTTTGTGCAACTATATATTTTCACAAATGACTTACACCAGACATTTTGTGTATTTTATAAAGACACCATCAAAGTATCATGTAACGAAGATGTTGGGCGCTGTAATTAGGTAATTTTCGTCGTCTACGTCATTGTATCGCATAAAAAATAATACGTCATTATTTTTTAAGACATCCGGTATATTATACCATTGTAAAGTCTATGAAAACTACACTAGTTATTTATTTATTTATTTATACATATAGAAAAACTCACGGACTCATAATACAATTATAATCCAATGCCATTTACGAATTTCCACCAACATGAAACAACATAGTGCTTATCAAGCCAAAAAAAGGTTTTAAGAAAAAAAAAACAAAAAACGAGAACTCATAACTGAGTAATAAAAAAAATTATAGACAATTATGCAATCATCGCCAGTCACACGCTGAAGACTCAAATCGAAACATTTTATACTGCACAAAAAGAGAAACTAATGACTAGACAGTATGGTTTCTGACCTTCGCCTTTTTCATGAGGAACAAAGGAGTGCCGTTTGCCATTTCTCGCCAGGGTTGCCAGGTACTGTTTTTCCAGTAGATCTAGTGTTTTCGGACTATATCTACTGTCGTACTGTTATTTAGCGAAAATCTACTGTTTTTTTTAGAAATTTTTCGATTTTTCGCTTTTCATAACTATTCTTGTCGGCTTTTTACATTTTGTGACTCTCTAAATATATTGAACATTTGTCGGAGTTTTTGCAAAACTTTGTAATGTTATCAAATCGTAGAACATTGACCTTTAATTTTTTTTTGGTATTTCGGCATATTTGTCAATGACAGGTCTAGAAAATGCGGAGAAGTGACATCTATGGTATTATTATCCAAAAATACTATTTAAAAGAACGCGCCTTTCTCTTTCGTTTTTAGCCGTTTTTTTTTCTTAGCAATTGTATTGGAATGAGAGCTGTCAAACGCAACTTGGATTATACGTTGAGTAAAGCAATAAATAATCTCAGTACAGAGTACTGAAAAACCGTCCGCAAAAGTTCGTGGCTAAGTATTTGCCAAATTATATTGAAATCGACCGGAAAGTGTCCACTGTACTGCCGTACTGTAAGTGTGACGTGTTTGTATGCGGGGATACAAGTACATGTCAGTGCCATTGAACTTTCTAACAACATAACCTAACCTCCGGTTAAGAAAAACAATCTCAAATGTCATTCATCCCCTAGTTTGCCACCCTTAGAGGTGGAATATTTTCTTGAAATTTAAATGAGGTACATCTGACATTCTTTCCAACAAAAACAGAATCCTCAAAACTGGTTCACAAATGGCGGAGTTATCGCGTAACATACATACAAAAAAAAACATACAGACGAATTGAGAACCACGCCTTTTTTTGAAGTCGGTTAAAAAGTAAGTTTTATTTAGAGTCGTGGCTGAATACCAGAGTCGGGGCCAATCGCGGCATTTATGCTGAGCCAGCGCGTTTTCACTGCCATGACTTCTAAAACTATTTAGTTTTTTAGTTGTATGTACAGTTGTAAGTTCCTTCTGTTATTTGTTATTTTTTAATTCCTTCTGTTATATGATATTTTTAAGTTATAATACTTGTGACATCTTGTTTGTGGTACAGAGTGATTTTATTTTGAAAATTGTTGGTTGACAAATACGACCATTGAAAAACCGGCCAGCCGGTTTTTTCCAAGTCATTTAGTGCATTTATCTTGTACGAAAGACAAAACTACTTATTTTTATGTATATATTCAACATTTAAAAAAGTGTTACGTATTCATGCAAGTTGCCTAATATTTGCCAAGATGATACTTCAACACCTATTTTCCCTTGTATTTTTCACGAGAAATTGTCATCAAATAAAACACTACATTATCATAAAATAGTTTTTTATTTTACCTAGGGACTTCTCAACTTATGTCTCAGGGTGACAGGCGCAGTGGCAGAGCCCCTGAGATCTTTGCTATTTAAAGCTCGGAGTGCCACTGCAACTGTTATGAACAGGCGTGCAAGACTTGATCGTCCTGTCACTTGATATTGTAAAAAAAAAACCATTGGTTTAAGGCTGACTTAAATTTAGTGCAAGTGGACATTACTCTTTTTTCATCGTACATGTGTTTAAGATTTAGTTTTAAATGTTTATTATGTTATAATCTATAAATCTGGGACCTGACTCCAGGACTTAAGGACCCGGGACAGTTAACTGACTATGTTCTAAGTTGTTATTTAATTTAAATAAATTTTTCAAACATGCTCGGAAATGTTTGCATTACTTTCAAAAAACAAACACGGACGGAATGACAAACTTCATTTATGGACCATGCGACTTCTTCCCGGCCAAGCCCTACAAAGTAAGTATGGAAATCCATTACTGTCCTGTTCTCTAAATTTTTAAATATACTTACTAATAATGAACTATGTACACAGGCTAAAGAAAAACGTATATATACATACAGCCAACTGCCCGGTGTTCTAATGGCGAGAATTAAAAATACCTACCTGTACCGCTTACATAAAAAAAGAGCAAATGGCGGTAACATTTTTAAAGTGTTTTGGTATTCTTTTGTTTTTTCGTCTTTTTTTGTATTTTGATCACGAAAATGAGTGCTAGTGATAAGAGCGATAACAAAAATACAGTAATACCAGTAGATACACATTCAAACACATTATCAGAAGTGCCTGGAAAAACTATAACATTTCCATTTAGCAATTGTCCTAACACGTCAAATAAGTATTACGTTTAATATTAATTAATATTTTTTTACTTTTTCTATTATACATACATCTTCCTCTCTTTAGTCTTTTATTATTTTCTCACATTGTTTGAGAAATATTCTATACATGTCTCGGCGGGAACGGGGATTGCTTGACTCGTATTAATACAAGGCCTTCCTTGTAACTCATACTCGTCCAGCAATCCCTTACTTCCCGGCAATAATGTACTATTTCAATCCAGGTAAAATAAACACAAGACTCACACCGTAGTGTAAGAATATTATTGTACAATGCCTATACTCACTAGGTTGTTCAATAGCACGTAATCTTCTATCCAGCTGTCTCCAATGAAGATCTGCTGCACATCCAGACCCTGCGAAGTCTGGACTTGTAGAACCTCGCGTCATCATCTCGAAAACTTCGCACGGGCTCAAAGTGCATTGTCCTGTTGTTGAGTGGAATCCTGAAAACGAAAATAGAGGGATTAGATAATGGAAAATGTCGTGTCGTATGGTATGGTATAACGAGTTGTTGTCGGCAACTTGGCATCCATGCGCCTATTTTGCGTGTGGTGGGTGCAGGGTCCTACTCGTGCCACCCAAGTCCTCTAAAAATCTCAGCATCCTCCTGGATTTTTCGAAGACTTCGGGGAGCGACCTCAGCACTCCAAGGTAAGGCAAAATGCCCTGTAGTTGGCCACGCCGGAGCATTGCAGTAGGATGTGCGCAGTGGTTTCATCCCCCTCCACGCATGCTCTACATAGAGGGCTGTCCGTAATACCTAGACTGTCAAATCAGACTTAGGGCGCTGAACAGAGATGATTAACGATTACTCCACCGCCAGCAAGTGCCTAGCTTTTCAATATGTAGAAGAAAATTAGATTATTACTACAGTTAAGTCCAACCACTTTTTACTTAATCATCCAATTCTTAAGAAAAAATAAATCAACGGAAACCCCAACTGGGTGTTAATTAAGCAAACGTACCTTAATTGGTTTTTGTAAAATTTGTTTTTAACAAACACACAAACTCCAGTTTCGTAAATAATCATCTTTTCATAAAAATTCTCTAATAAAAACAACCTAAGCTTTGATCATAAGTATTGGATTATAAGATACCTAATCAAAACCAACCACAACAACATTAACCCATTTAGTTCTCGATGGGGTTTAGGTCATAGTTCGCCACTCTGGCACAATTTCCGAGTGTTGTGAATCTTCTACGACATGCAACTTTCAATGCGACGTTTTCCTTCATCTAAAAGCTCATGGTAAATTTCAAATTAATTTCGTACAGAAATTTCGAAAACTTTTGAGGTTCCTGGATTCGAACCCACGGCCGAAAGAAACCCTTAAGTACTTAAACACTCACATGCATTCATAATCACTTTTTATTAATTACAGTCGTCCTCATATCCTTGTATCCTTTTTTATATTGAATATAAGCCTTTTTTAAATGGTCTACGATACGGCAGTCGTCAGATACTTTCGTCGTAAGATTCAAATCTTTTATATACTTTAACATCCATTTTATAATTCCTAACTAATTATACATTCCGTTTGTGCACGGATCTGCTCTCAGGCGAAGGTTTGGGCCATAGTCCGTCGCGCTCGTCCAGGGTTGGCAGCTTCACACGTTTTCCGAGGGTGATGAACCTTCTTCGGCGTGCAAATATCATCACGGTGTTTTCCTTCGCCGACAAGTTAATGGTAAATTTCAAATTAAATTTCGCTTATAAAGTTCGAAAAAGTCAGAGGCCTCTGAGGCACCTCTGAGCCTGGATCCGAACACACAGCCGCTCGCTGCTTGGGGCTAATTATTGGAACTAATTTATTAATCTCAACTGATTAATTTTATGTCGTATTGCTCGTTTCAATGCAACCCAGAGTCGCGTTGTCTGGTTGTGATAATTAGAGACCCGATATTATTTTTAATTATTTTTTCTTATTACGATTAATCGTCATAAGTGATGTTACTCGAATAATCGAGTCGTCTTTACGACGAAAGATTATATATCTTCAAATACACATATCGGCATACTGAATTTAATCAAGAGATTGCGAATTAGTCACGTACGATTGTTCTTACATCACCATTTCAGCGAAAACTGTGCCAGCATTTGTAGACATTACCACACCTTTTTCATTCTAAGCGTACCTATTGGCAATTTCTTTTTTTTCTCTCACTCTGTTGATGGAAAACCTCTTGTAAAGTAGATATAATAATAGCACGCATGTCGTGTTATAAGCTGACGCAAATTCACGGACAAAAATGGTTACTTTCAGTCATACCAATAAAGCTTAGTTTTTGGAACAAATGGAACAAATCGTGAAACTACCTCACGGACAAAGACAAAGTACAGTAATTCTAGTAACAGTAATTCTAGAGTGCCTACTGGTGAAATTACAGACTCATGGGACTTGTCAACTTATGTCTCAAGGTGACGGGCCACTGTACGCAGGGCGCAGGGTGACGCTGCACTGTCACTGAGCAGTGCCCCTCAAATATTTGCGATTTAAAAGCTGTGAGTGGCACTGTAACTGCTATGGATAGGAGTGTCGCTTACCACCAGACACGCGACTTGTTCGCCTCGTCTCTCGGTATCATAAAAAATAAAAAACTGGAAAGATGCGAAAATAAATGTTTATATTATTACGTTCTGTCACTATTTATATTGATATTTGGTGTTAGTAGCACTTAGCAACTTCGTTTCAGTAAAAACGTAATTTATAATAAAATAAATGAATATCTTATTTTATTTTGTATGGTACAACAAAAGATAACAGAATACAAATAATACTTAGAAATACTAATAAAATAAATGTGTAACATTATATAAATATATAATATAATAATATATAAATCTGCCAATTATTATTGTACTCAACATTCATTTTAGGACAGGATTTTGGACATTTCAGTATTTTAGCATTCATTTTTTCACCTCTTAGAAGTAATTTTCAAAATGAAAAAATGAAAAACATGTTCCACGATTCGCTTTGAAGAGTACCATGCTATGCAAAAAAAGTACTATGCAAATGTTTATACAGGAATTAAGATGAAATAAAAACATTTTCCGTTGTACACTTATACACCACCACATAAAGGACAATAAAGGAAAATGATACTAATAGTGCTGTTTTAATATTTGTTTCAAAAACGTTTGATGCTAATGTGAGAAATTGTGTCCTGGATCTAATCACTAAAACATTTGTTACTTATTATTTTTACATGTTACTAATAATATCACATCTAAGCGTATAATTTATTTCTTTTGACATTTTTTTGGTTGAAAGTCAGGAATAGAAAGCCACTCCACGCTACTCAATCATTCTAAAACATCTCCGTTTAAGGTGGCTCCACTATCGCCTTAAGCGCAAAAATATCTTTCGTGTTTCTCGGTTCCTATAATATTTATAAATTAGGTAAAATATTATAAGCTATAATATTTTACCTAATTTAAAACTATTCAATATCAATAATATGAGAAAATTACAATTGCAAATTAACATGACATTACTTTTGTTTATATTTACATTTAGATACATCATTTGTCATATTCATTTGCATTTTCATGCTCCATAATGAAACTTAACAATTAAATAGTACACATTCGAATATTTTTATGGAATCCATTACTAACGGCCATATCAATTAAAAAACTTTTTATTATAATTAGGTTAAAAAACATTTTGACTTATTGGTTATTAAAATACAATATTACGAAATGACACAAGTAAATAATTATTTTATGTTTGGATGCTATTGCCATGTATAAAAATTTTTATAATGAAATATATTATTTTATGCATGAAAATAGCATCCAAATATAAAATAATTACTTACTTCAGTTAAAGTAAAATTGTATAAAACAAATTTAATGTGGATTGCACCACTATCACACTGACAGCCTCAATAAATATACACGTTTTTTAACAAATCATGGCATTACATTCTAAGTAACACGATTTTCTTATGCAAAGTGAACACTCCATGTCTTGTATCAATATGAAAGGTGTAGGTTTGAAAAGAAAAAAAATATGCTTCATTATTTGCCTTTTTAGACCTTTCATAACGTGATACAACTTATTAGATTTATTAGGCTCAGTAAATACGATTTTCTCAAATAATCTTACACGCGTATGCCTGTGAGACTCCTAAGCATATCTTTTTCAGGAAAAACAAATTTACATACACTTGTTATAGAGAGTCATTAGAGAGTTTACAGTTATTTAGAATTGTCACAAAACCATCCATTATAGAACCAAAAACAGAGACGAAATAAGAGCCATCCATACCTGGCAACTCATCAGGTATATGTGCCTTAAATCGCTTTTAATTATCAACTCTCGTTTGCACTGAAATTACAAATTAGAAAGCTGAAATAGTACAGCGCCAACAACTGACCTGTGTGTATTCCAAACTGTTTTCGTATATTCCAAAAATATTCTGTATTTATTGCAACGATGATAATAACTCTAACTATGAGGGGGCTTTTCCATTCGATGGTGTGGGAAAAACAGCAATACATCTAATTACAAAACAAACGGAATCACATTTCATCTGTATAAATAAATAATAAGTATGTAACTTTTCAGTTTTCGTCCATTATAGCAAAGCTCAAGTTAAACCGGTAATTTTGAAGTGAAACAATTGACGGGACCGTCGATTGTTTCGAATTCGGGCTGGCCAATCGGAGCGCAGTTCTCGCCGTAATGATATAGCAGACCAGTTTTCAAACAAATTAAATGACATTTCGTCTGTATTTCCGGTTATATACTCGATACATAAAACACTTCGTATTTTGTTTCGGAACACATTTTGAAAATTTACTTTGTGTATGTTGTGTATTCAGTGCTTCCTTCTTAAAACGAACTTAATAGTTAAAATGTAACATTTCTAGCTTCGGCAGTTTCGATTGAGTATTGATTATTACTTAAAACATTTTCCTTTATATAAATTTTATTATTAACATATACGTAAAACGCGACTCTCGCTGTCATGCTCAGTGCCCGTTTACATTAACACTGAGTGGCATTATCAGACAATTTTATCAAATTTCATATCAAAGGTTTACCTTGGAGTACTATGTGGCAAATTAAGCGAAAATTACATCCCATTGGACTTTTCGATTTGAGTATAATTTTTAAGGCGAAGTGAGACCCAAAATAGACGTTTTGACATTTTTCGACGACACGGTAGGTAAATTGCTTTTTCGATATAGATGTGGATAATTAAGAACAGTAAACGAATCAAATAAATCAGAGGTGGTTGGTTACGAATTAAATAAAATTAATTAGTGTAAATGAGTTAATTGTCATCAATAGCTTTCAGATTTCTTAGCACAGTACTTAATACAAAGATCGAACACAGAGAAAACTTCCTTCGAACCAGTGTAGTGCCTTCGTCATATCTGAGCTACGGAATG